AGAAAAAGGTTTTTACATTGATTTGAAAAGATCACAGCCTGTGCAGCACTTCTATGAAAAGGCAGGCTGTCCCGAAGATTAGGAGCACCCAATGGTGGTCTTTAAAGACAAGCATGTCTGTAATCTGGTGAAAAATGACCCTTTTACAACTTTTGAATGTCAGGTCATCAAAGCAGGGTTATAAAATGTACTTCACTGTGTTTTAATCTACTGACCTCCCGGTCCAGCTGGCCCTTTTCTCTCAGAATTTGCAAATTTTCTATCATCATGATCAAACTAGAAAAAGTTTTAATCCTTGGGTGACTTTTATTTACACATTAATTATCCTAATTGTAGCACAGCAGTGGAGTTCATGTCTAATATGGAGTCTTTTAACTTACAGCAGCACGTTTCAGGCCCCACACACTAAATGGGCCACACTCTAGATCTTGTTTTCTCTTTGGGACTAAAAACCAATCATTTACATGTTGAAGAGGTTCATGTGAGTGACCACAGCTGCATTTTCTTTAATGTCCTATCTAATGTTGAATATGTCCCTCACAACCTAAAATCAAAGAGACGTATCATTAATCAGTCAGCAGTGGATGGATTTTCTAGATTATTTGACAGCAGCTCAGTCCAGGGTGGTGATCCAAGCTTGTTCATCGAGTTATTGGATAAACAATGTTGCAGTATCTTAGACAAAGTAGCTCCTGTTAAGCAGGTGACTTTTTTTAGCAAGAGAAAAAGTCCCTGGATTAACCAAAATATTTATAGTCTCAAAAGGACATGCCGCAGAGTCGAGAGACGTTAGAAGTCAACTAGATTAGAAAGTCACAGGCTGCACTTTAAAGAACTGATAACATCTCTGCATGAGACGGTGAAAACTTCCAGGGCCACTTACTTTGCTCAGCTGATTGCTGTAAACAAAAATAACTCTAAAGTCCTGGTCGACACCATAAACCCGATTGTTTCACCTCACGCCCCTCTTACGCCTGTTTACTCAAGGTCTGACTGTAACAACTTTCTAGCATTCTTTGAGGATAAAATCAGAAATATCAGGGCAAGTTTTTCACCCCCATCTATTTCCTACCCCCCCATCCAACCCCTCCCTCTCAATCATGGTCTGTCTTTACTCCTGTAGATTTCCAGGACATTTGCCTCATTCAGAAACACATGAAACCAACCTCATGCCCTGCTGATTTCATTCCTACTGCCTTGTTAATCAGGATGTTTGACCAAATTGGCCCATACATTGTAGATTTTATTAATTTATCCCTACAATCTGGCTCTGTACCATCTGTTTTCAATTATGCAGTTATTGAACCTATCCTTAAAAAACAAGTTTGGCCTCATCTCAGCCTAAAAAATACAGACCCATTTCTAAATTACTCTTTATCTCTAAAATATTGGAAAAGGTTGTGGCAGATCAACTGATTACTTTTCTGGAACTGCACAACAGTTTTCGTAAAAAGCATTCAACAGAAACAGCTTTGCTTAAAGTTTCCTGTGACACCATGATGGCTGCAGACAACGGGGAGTTCACAGTGTTATTATTGTTAGATCTTTCTGCAGTTTTTGCCACTGTTGATCACAGCACCTTAAATAACAGACTTGGTGACTCGGTGGGAATCTCAGGAACTGTTCTGGTTTAGATCGTACCTTCCTAGCAGAAGTTACAGTGTCTGTGTAAACCAAATCATGTCAGATTCTACTGATCTGTTCTGTGGGGTACCCCAAGGCTCTGTCTTGGGTCCACTGTTGTTTCTGTTGTACATACACCTTCTTGGACAGATTCTTTTCATAATGTTTCTTATCACCTGTATGCAGATGATATTCAGCTGTACTGCTCCTTTAAGGATTCTGAGTTCTACAAACTGTTTGAATTACAAGAGTGTCTATCAGCTATCACCAGGTGGCTAGAAGATAACTTCCTTCAGTTAAACTCTGAAAAGACTGAATGTATGATCATTGCCCCTGAGAGCATGGTTCCCCTGATTAGTTTAAAACTTGGTCATTTATCCTCTACCGTCAAGACAAACTTAAGGAATTTGGGTGTTATTTTTGAAGAAGAAGAAGAAGAAGAAAATATCATTTATATAGCGCCTCGCAAGATAAAAATCACGAGGCGCTTCACAAAAACAAAAAATATAAAAAAATTGTAAAAATATAAAAAAGCACATAGAAAATGTTTAAAAATATATTTAAAATGAGCATGAATAAATGAAAGAAAAAATGTTAAGAAAGAGAGAGTGAATAGGAAAGAGGGAAATCAGTGGATCCTGAGAAAGGTGGAATAGGTGGGGAGAGCAGAATAAAGAGAGAGTGGTGAAGAAGATCATACAAAATCAATCAATGTCTCTTGAAGGTTACACAAAAATGTTGGTCCGAAACTGTTTTTATCATTTAAGAAATATCTCCAAACTGCAAAGGTTGGTGTCAAAACATGAACTTGAAATGGTTCTCCATGCCTTTATCTCCCCCCGACTAGATTACTGTAACACACTTTTCACATGTTTTAACTAAAAAGCCTAACCCGAGCCCTCAGGTCCACCCACCAGAACCTTCTAGAAGTCCCAAAGACCAGATAAAAAAGTTGAGGTGATCGCTCCTTCCAGACTGTTGCACCCCGACTCTGGAATGATCTCCCTTTATCCTTACGCAGCATTGACAGTCTGGACACTTTTAAAAAACAGCTAAAGACCCTTTTATTTAAAGCTGCTTTTACCTAAACCTTTTATTTTCTTATTTTTATCTCAAATTTTTAATCTTTCATCTGTTTATGAAAATTTATAATTTTATGACTTCATTTCTTCTGATGTTAATCTAATTCTGTTTTGAGAGCATTTTGATTTATGATGTTAATCTATTTATGAAATTATGACTGTTTTATTTTGTTTTGATCTATGTGAAGCACTTTGTGATTCTATGTCTGTGAAAAGTGCTGTATAAATAGTTCTATCCCCTCTGGTTTCATCTGGGATCAAAGAGTATCCTAAATTGGCTTTCAAGCCTTGGTGCTCTGACTAGTGTGTGGGTGTAAAAAACAGTCAGGGTGAATAATAATACATTAAATAGTGATCAGAATTACATGTCATCATTCAGAACTCAGACAAAGAGGTTGTCACCTCACAGGGATCTGTTTAAACTCAGGAGAGGCTTCATTCATCCAGGAGGTAAAACAGGACACATGGACATGAGCTGGATGCATGATCTACCATGGTCTCATGATGCTAGCAGGTGGCGCTTGTGGCCCAAAAGAACTTGGGCTTTGTTGCGTTTATTTCCACACAAATCCAACTCATTGTCAGAGGTGCACAAAATCAGTCCAGGATCAGTGGCAGCGGCATGTGGTGCAGTTTGTCTAATTTTAGCTATGAGGCTCTAAACACAGGCACACACACACACACACACACGCACGCACGCACACACACACACACACACACACACACAGATTCTCTTTAGGATAATGACCGCAGCAGACAATGCTAAGCTGTGGTTTTAAGGCAGGAATGTTGTTTCCAGCATGCTTGTGTGTGTGTGTGTGTGTGTGTGTGTGTGTGTGTGTGTGTGTGTGTGTGTGTGTGTGTGTGTGTGTGTGTGTGTGTGTGTGTGTGTGTGTGTGTGTGTGTGTGTGTGTGTGTGTGTGTGTGTGTGTGTGTGTGTGTGTGTGTGTGTGTGTGTGTGTGCTTCTATTTAAGTCCCTCTGTGATAGTGGGGAGGGGGAAAAGTGAAGCAGAGATAAATATTCTTGTTTGTTCTTTTCTCCATCACTTCGTCTCTCTTCAGCTGCAGCATCAGAACAAACGGGTAGGAATAAAACTCTTTCTGCACAAATGTTTGTTACGAGGTGGGGTTGTGTAGTTGACACCACAATTGGTGTTTAAGGTGGTATTGCGTTCTAACATCAAAGCAAAAATCTCACTCTGCATATTCGATTTTATCGTTTAGAAAATAATCGGTCATTTCTTTTAAATGACTTAATTTTGTATAAAAATGTAGCCAATTAATATTTCTATCTAAAAAATAATCTACCAGGGCTTTTCTGTCTCACATCTGATGTTGTGGATGTCTGGATTTGTTTAAAGAGCTCAAAACCCCCAAAATATTCAATTGTCTATCATGGAAAAGTGTTTTTAAAACAATATAAATAGAATTTCATTAATATTTTACTAACAGTAACTTAACAAATGTTCTGTAAAATCCCAGTAACACCTCAATCAATAAAACAAAAGCCGCCCTAGGAGAAAATGGCTGATACTGATTCAAATCTTTATTATTCCACATGTAGTTGAATAAACAAAAGACTAAATTTGAGGTTTTAACTCTGTTTATGGATAAAAAGAAAATTTATTCTCATTTTAATCCACAAGAAAGGCGAATGATGTCTAAAATCAACTGAAGACACAAAAATCTAATGTTTCATGAAAACATCTGCATTTTGACGATGTTCAGCCTGAACCACTTCAAAGTTTCTCTGGGAAAGAAGCTTCAGGTTTATATTTGTGTCGCATTCCTGGAGGAAAGAGGGAGGCATTATCTACGTGGGAAAAACCAGCATGTTGGGGGTGGGTGGGGGTCAGGGGGGGCTTTGCATGCTTCACCCCATCTGCCATCACTCTGCTGTGGGTGACAGCTGAGAGGTGCACTGGATGATTTAGTCCAGAAGTCCCAACGTGTGGTACAAAAAACAGCTACATTAATAATATTTAACAGTTATTAGAAATCAATAGAACAGATATTTTCTGTCTTGTGTGGTTCTTTAGTTGGACAAATGTGTGCTAAATGTGCAAAAAATATATTTCATTAGCATAAAACCACTTAAACAGTCGCCAACATAGTTTTTGTGTCTCGTAGGGGTTCTAACTGAAAGAGCCAAGATGCCGGAGAAGCCGTGAGTTTGTTTTTCTATTTTCAAGATGACAAATTTAGTCTCGTAGGATTTAATGTCAAGCATTCATATCATCAATGGTTGAAAAAAATCTTTACTCGTGTTTGCTTTTCTGTTCACAGACCTGAGGTAAGATTGTATAAACTTTACACAGAACCAATAAATAAATGATGAACTCTGACCTGAACCTGGCTTCACAGAGGAAATCCAAAATCTCAGCCTCTCGCAAGCTCATGCTGAAGGTGAGTGACGTCTGAGCTGGATTCCTTCATTCAGACAAACATCAGAGGAAATGCTAATAATTAATTAACTCTTAGTTTATGAACATTATTTTAGAGCTTGATGGTTGCAAAGGCCAAAGAGGAGCTGGAGCAGGAAATGGTTGAAAAGGAGGAGCAAAAGGCAAAATACCTGGATGAGAAAATTCCTCCAATCCAGACCACAGGCCTGTCAATAACAGAGCTCAAGGTTAAACTTGGTGTGTGTCCCTAATGGTTTTCTTAGTTAGCAGCTATTAGATCATTCCTTCCTTCTACACAGGCGTTGTGTGAAGAGCTGCATGCCAAAGTTAATGTGGTGGATGAAGAGCGGTACGATATTGAAGCCAAGGTGTTGCACAACACCAGAGAGGTAAAAATGCTTATTCAGCTGCAATAATGCACAACGTGCTTCTGCACTCCTTTTTAATTAAAGCGGAACTGTCTCTTGATTCCACCACAGATCAAAGATCTGAACATCAAAGTGCTGGACTTACGAGGGAAGTTTAAGAAGCCCAACTTGAGGAGGGTCCGAGTCTCCGCAGACGCCATCCTGCGCTCACTGCTGGGCTCCAAACACAAGGTGTCAATGGATCTGCGGGCTAACCTCAAGTCTGTCAAGAAGGAGGACACAGAAAAGGTACGATTCCCTCCCTCTGTCGTTATAATCCCAAATACAGGCCCTTCTCAAAAAATTAGCATTTCATGATAAAGATCATTATTGTCTGTAATGTACTGATAAACGTTAGACTTTCATATATATTAGATTCATTACACAAAACTGAAGTAGTTCAAGCCTTTTATTGTTTCTAATATTGATGATTTTGGCGTACAGCTCATGAAAACCCTAAATTCCTATCTCAAAAAATTAGCATATTTCATCCAACCAATAAAAGAAAAGTGTTTTTAATTTTTAAAAAAGTCAACCTTCAAATAATTATGTTCAGTTATGCACTCAATACTTGGTCGGGAATCCTGTTGCAGAAATGACTGCTTCAATGCGACGTGGCATGGAGGCAATCAGTCTACGGCACTGCTGAGGTGTTATGGAGGTCCAGGATGCTTCGATAGCGGCCTTAAGCTCATCCAGAGTGTTGGGTCTTGCGTCTCTCAACTTTCTCTTCACAATATCCCACAGATTCTCTATGGGGTTCAGGTCAGGAGAGTTGGGTGGCCAATTGAGCACAGTAATACCATGGTCGGTAAACCATTTACCAGTGGTTTCGGCACTGTGAGCAGGTGCCAGGTCGTACTGAGAAATCAAATGTTTATGTTTATGTTTATTTATTTGGCAGACGTTTTTATCCAAAGCGACTTACAATTTATAACCTATAGGGCATGTTGTGATCTGTGGGGGAAACCGGAGTACCCAGAGGAAACCCACGCATGCCTGGGGAGAAATCTTCATCTCCATAAAGCTTTTCAGCAGATGGAAGCTTGAAGTGCTCCAAAATCTCCTGATAGCTAGCTGCATTGACCCTGCCCTTGATAAAACACAGTGGACCAACACCAGCAGCTGACATGGCACCCCAGACCATCACTGACCGTGGGTACTTGACACTGGACTTCAGGCATTTTGGCATTTCCCTCTGCCCAGCCTTCCTCCAGACTCTGGCACCTTGATTTCCGAATGACATGCAAAATTTGCTTTCATCCGAAAAAAGTACTTTGGACCACTGAGCAACAGTCCAGTGCTGCTTCTCTGTAGCCCAGGTCGGCACTTCTGCCGCTGTTTCTGGTTCAAAAGTGGCTTGACCTGGGGAATGCGGCTCCTGTAGCCCATTTCCTGCACACACCTGTACACGGTGGCTCTGGATGTTTCTACTCCAGACTCAGTCCACTGCTTCCGCAGGTCCCCCAAGGTCAGGAATCGATCCTTCTCCACAATCTTCCTCAGGGTCTGCTCACCTCTTCTCGTTGTGCAGCATTTTCTGCCACACTTTTTCCTTCCCACAGACTTCCCACAGCACTCTGGGAACAGCCTATTCGTTCAGAAATGTCTTTCTGTGTCTTACCCTCTTATACTCTTGCTTGAGGGTGTCAATGATGGCCTTCTGGACAGCAGTCAGGTCGGCAGTCTTGCCCATGGTTGCGGTTTTGAGTAATGAACCAGGCTGGGAGTTTTTAAAAGCCTCAGGAATCTTTTGCAGGTGCTTAGAATTAATTAGTTGATTGAGATGATTAGGTTAATAGCTCGTTTAGAGAACTTTTTCATGATATGCAAATTTTTTTAGATAGGAATTTTGGGTTTTCATGAGCTGTATGCCAAAATCATCAATATTAGAAACAATAAAAGGCTTGACCTACTTCAGTTGTGTGAAATGAATCTAATATATATGAAAGTCTAATGTTTATCAGTACATTACAGAAAATAATGAGCTTTATCACAATATGCAAATTTTTTGAGAAGGACCTGTAGACACTGATATTTACTGCTATGTTTGCCGCAACAGGAAAAGACAGTGGAGGTGAGTGACTGGAGGAAGAACGTAGAGGCCATGTCGGGCATGGAGGGTCGCAAGAAGATGTTCGACGCAGCAAAAGGCCAGAGCCAGTGACTGAAAAAGTTATTTTCTATCACTGAGTTTTGAATTTAGTTATGACGATAAAGTCAACATCTCAAAACCTCACAAAAATATAATTTTTTTTTCAATATTAGTTGAATTTTATCACTGAATAAACTAAATATTTTCTGTATCTTTTTGCTCTTTGATTTTACAGAGAAACAAAGTGATTTCTGTGATTTCTTCTGTCAAGTTTTCTGCATTGCAGCTAAAAACTTGTAACTGTATTTAATAAAATGTCACAAATCAAACATTTTACATTTGAGTGTGCTGACTTGTTCAATTCAATTCTACTTTATTTGTCATTGTCACAAAAGTACAATGAAAACTAGATGCCCTACAGTCGGTGCATCATCCATTTTCAAATACAATGCTAATAATAATAATGTAACGATTTTTCAGTGGTTACTTTTAACAAATATCACTGAGCCTTTGATATTCGACTGATGATGAACCTAGGTACTTTGGGTATGCCAGGAAAACAACACTTTATAATAATTTGACAAAGAGACAAAACTACAGTTTATAAAAATTAATTTATTTGTGATGAAAGGCAAATGATTATGAATGGTGATTCAAAGTGATATCAAATGAGACACTGATTTAACTCTGATAAAACATGACCTGGTATACTCAGAAATATGTGATCTCTGGGTTGTAAAATACAACCGGCTGTTTGTTTGATGTCATTTAACAAGTTATTAAATTAATATTAACCCATCTGATGCCAGTGCAGAGATACTCTACCCGTGTTTATTGAGACTTCTGGGCAATCCTACTGAAAGTTTCCTCAGCAAGCGGGGAGTTTTTCTTCTGAATGTCATGGGCCGTATTACCCTGAATCTACATCAGCTGGTCGGAGATCCTCTCTCGGGCTGCAGGTGGACTATTTCATGGTGTCATGTTCCTGGGCAGAGGTGAATCACACCATCTCCTCTCACCAGACTCTGAGCTAATTCTCCACAGGTGAGGAGCAGGGGGAGCGGCAGCTGCAGGAGATTTTCCAATCAGGGACGCGGGTTCAAAAGGAGGATGGAGACACATCACTTTGCCAGATGACTGCACCAGTTTAAGTAGCACCAGCCTTTGACCTTGATCTAGTTTGTTCGTGTTTTGACTCGTGTTTGACCATTGGATTTGTGACCTCGGATTGTGTTTTTGGACTACGATTTGGATTATCCCTCATGCCTGGTTTTTGTTCCACTCAGGATCCTCTTCTCATCTACTCACCTTCGCTGTCTTCGTTCCCTGGATAACACACATCACGTCCCATCCTCCTCCGCTGCTCCTATTCGGCTTCCCTCTGCTACCTCGCCTCTCCTGGACCTCTCACCCTCTGCCCATCGTCCTTCCTGGCTTCCTAATCTCCTCATCAACCTGAGCACTTCAGAGACTCGAGCCATATTGCTCATCCCACAGGACTTCCCTGTGCGGTTTCAGTTCCCGTTTTTATAATAAAGACGTTTTACTTTACTGCTTTGGACTACGTGTGATGATTCTGCATGTCTTGGGTTAGGCACTTACCTCGAGTCATGACACATGGCTGAGTCATTTGTGGATTGAGCAAATAATTGTTTGATTCAAAAGGCCTTTTTGCATGGAGATGCGTGTTCTCCCCATACATGTGTGGGTTTCCTCCGGGTACTCCAGTTGCCCTATAGGTTATCAATTGCACGTTGCTTTGGATAAAAGCATCTGCTAAATAAACACATATCAAAAGGATGGTTGAAAAATTATTCCACTGAAAATTCTGGCTTGATTCCCCAAAGGATGGTCATTTGGCGTGAGCTTTTGCTGAACTCGGAGCTCTGGCTGTTATTGGGGGAAAAGAGGAAGTGAGATCACTTTTAAGAAGTGTTTGTTTATAAACTTTGACTAACCAGATCTGAGAAATTTGAACAGACATTTATCAAGAGTCCTCAAACACATCCATTTCTGTGATGCTTAGAAAGCTCATTTCATTTAATATATATAGTAAATCTGTACTCAGTACATTAACAAACATTCATTTGTTAATATACTGATATTATGTGGATGTAAGTGATAATTAATCATTAAATCATCAAGTAGACTCATTTAGTGTGTTTAAAATCTGAAACAAGTCACACTCTTTAAGATTTTCCTGATCTGGATCGTGCATGCAATGAAATTAATTTCCTGCCACAAGGGGGCAGTATCTAACAGTGGATGTCAATGTTGGTGTGACCAACCTGCTGGATGAGTGTGACGGATCCTCACACCACTTTGCTGAGATGAAACTCCATTTTTGGACTGGAGCCAAGCAGATTTACTCTGACAGTAAATCCACATAGGTGTGGTACCAACACACCTGTTCTCCTAGAGGAGAAAGTTTAGTCAACCGGATGACTTCTCTGACTCTGTCTCAGCTTTCATCACTGACTGCTGCAGATTGATGTGAACTCTAATTATTCAGAGGCAATAATTAGATTTATTAAACGACTGCACGCCTTTAAAGGGAGTGAAGATCAAACTCCCTGTTCCTAAATTACAGACCAGTGCTTCCGCCAAGCACACACACGCACTACACAGTGATGGCCGTACAAAATTCCTTTTGATATTGGATATTGAATATTTACATAGATGTGTTCAGTACAGCATTGAAAATATTTTTGAACATTTAAGATTATGATAAAAAGATTTGAATAATAAATAAAACATTTGTTGAAATTAAAATAAAGTTTGAACAGGAGTGCTTGATTTTGTTTCAGTTCATATTTTCATGTTAATTGTCTTTTAGCTCTTGAGCCTGAATTAATAAATTATAATAAAAATGGTTTAAACTCATCTATTTGTTGGCTAACGCTAATAAAACATATCAGTTTTGTTTAATCAAATTTTTGTTTAATAATGACAAAGAATAAAAAATTGACACGTTATTCTGATTCCCGTGTCCAAGTTTGCTGCTAAACTTAAACCAGTTTTCATCTGTAAAACACAAACTACTTCAGAGGGGTCAGAGCAGCAACAGCCTCTCTGTGAGCAGACAGTTAGGTTGGAGGGGAAACTCCCGGTCCAGCGGCACCACTAACAAAGTCACTGTTTGGCTTCAGTGTTCAGGAGACGTCTGTTGAGTCAGAATCCAAACTGGTGCCCAACAGTAAACAGTGGGAGTGGCCTGATCATACTGGGTGCTGGTGATAACATGTTGCAGCCTGTAAAGGAAGAAATTCAAACTTAAAGGTGAGGTGCAGAAGACAAATCCAGTTCAGGGTGTGAGTTTTACCTCATTTGAACCTTTAGCAGCTTGCAATGGTGAAAAAGCATGTCTACCATATTCACCATATACTGTAGAACACATGTCTGGAGAGCAAGTGAAACCTGGCATCAATCAGCAAAATCACAGTAAAATCACTTTTTGAGTCGTTTATTTTGCGTGTGAATCTGTTTGCAGGGATTAAATCGTACACACCACAGGGCTGAAACTCCTTTGGCAGCAATAATCCCGAGCTCCTCTGCAGAGGTTTTTCCAAGGATAAAAATAACCAAACCAGATCCACGGAGAATGCATGTTTTCCTATTCTAGTTAATGCCACGTACCATCTGTTTGCAGGTATGTGCCCACCAGTTGTGCTCATCGGCGTCTTTGCTGCCATGTGATCCACTGGTGGGTTTAAAAGATTAGGATCCACAGAGAGGGGTACACCTCTCCACTGGCTGTTGTCTAGAGCACTTGTCAAAAGTTCTTTGTGAGTCAAAGTGCTCTGATCATCGCCTCAGAGCGTTCTGGAAGCACAAACCTTTCTTTTCTGTGCAGGTACGGCCTCCTAAAGCATGTCGGACTCAGAAGATGCCACACATGAGTAAGTAGACTGATTCATTTCTAAACAAGTCACTCATGCCTGATCTACTGGGGTCAGTTCACACAATATTTGCTTTGTTTTTCTCCTCTCAGAGAGCGTAAGTTGAAGCCACAGACGAACCAGATGAGTCTTCTCTGTTTAAAACTGCATTTTCTCACAGATGCATGTTTGTGATGTGGAAAGCAACACTGGTGCTGTCAATAGTTTTGCAAAAATAGAAAATGTGATTATTGTTTGGGGAAGTTTCTGAGTGTGTGTGTGTGTGTGGGGGGGGGGGGGGGGGGCATGCACATTGCTCCTGTTTAGAAGCATGGTTCACACAACCAGGTTTGGCATGCAAAGAGTATGTTTAACACCAGCTTTGACATTTTTGGCATGCTTTTCCTGCTGGATTGATCTTTGTCCTCTGAGCCATCTCTCTTTGTTTAAAAAAAACTTAAACCCCAGGGAATTTGCTCTTCTATTTTTAATGGTGAATTCGTCACCATCAAGCAAATAAATTAAGGACCAAACCTCTAAATCCGTCTCCACTGTGAGGCTGTGCGTGTGGGAAAATGTCCACAAAGCTCGGCTGTTCCTGAAACCAAGCAGCACCTGTCTCTCTCCCTCTGAGAGGAGTACAGTCGCTGTCACTGAGTAATGTAGGTCAACAAATGTTCTCAATAGAGGAGCTCGGGGAAGCACAATGCCCACTGTTAGGGGTCCTTCCTGAAGGCAGATTAGCTTACCTTCGTTGCAGTGAGAAAAGATTGAGTTTCCATCTGTAACTACAGGGATTAAATGTCTCACATGAATTTTGTGGAAGAAATTTATAGTGAATCTGGAAAGTATTCAATTTTAGTGTCACAGCCTTGCTCGAAACGCTGCACCAAACACCCTAGAATGACAATGTGCTTTTTGCAAATGTATTAAAGTAAAAAAAGAAATAAACGAGAAAGCCTTTGCTTAATACTTAGTTGTTTCACCTCGAAGCCAGAATCTTGTCACGTGCTGATTTTGGACAGTTTCACATATTCACTTTTTGCAGCTCTTCTCAAGCTCCATCAGCCTGGGCAGGAAGCGGGCGAACCGTATTTTCAGAAATCACTCGAAGTTGTCGAGATGATGCGACTGTCACTTTTCACACATCATAATTAGATTTATTTTTACTCTTCGCAGGCAAACGGAAAGTAACAGCATGTTTGAATCATGACTCATGTCACTTCTGCTGCCAAGAGCTGTTCTGAGACAGAAACACATGAACAAACACTTCCTGATAGGTGTCTGAAAAGAAAGCAGACTTCTGCTCAGCGCTGCTATTCTACACAGCCTCTTCATATATTGTGTTACCGATTTAGACTGGCTGAAAAACGGGACTGTTCCATTTTGTGAGAACTTTAAAACAAATAAAAGGCGTGTAAACTTCTCAATGAATAAAAAAGGCCAGAAATAGAAATTAGTAGCTCTAGTTTTGATTCCAAAACGCTGAACAAATCTACAGTTTTTAATTTGTATCAGTGTTTTCTACATCATTTTCTGTTGCATTAAAATATTTAAGGAAAATAATGTTTGGATATATTTGGTCTTTTGCATTTGCTTAAATTGTGCTGTGTACTTTTTCTGAAGATATAATAAATCCCTCTCAGGTGAAGTGATTCAGCAGCTGTTTTTCTTGATAGTTTCAGTACCTTCTAGAATGAGTCATTTCAGGGCTCTGTCACTTTAAGAAAACAAGCTGGAGCTGGCCCTGCCCATCTATCCTAGCCTGGTGTGCCAGACTCGTCCTCTGTTTAATTTTGCATAGAGAAAGTGTCCGGTTACTCACAGGCAGAGAGGCACATGAGGGGCGGGACCAGGCAGCTCAAAAATAACCAATCAGAAAAAAGACGGAAATGCCGACTGTACCGTGCGATGCTACAGTTTTTTTTAGCTGTAGTCAAAAATAGCATCTGGCAACGGCGCAAACATCTTTCTTTTTTTTAGAAGAAATGCTTTTAGCGCTTCTACTTGTTGTTTTAAAGACATTCAAGTCATTTAGAACAAAGGAAAGTGCCGCAGTGAACTCCGCCGCTGTCTTCGTTGTTTATGAGAAACTGAGTGTTGGTGTGTGACGTCCGCGACGCTGTAGTTTTTTAGCTGTTTTCAAAAATGGCGTCTGGCGACAGCGCAAACATCTTTCTTTAGAAGAAATGCTTTTAGCGCTTCTACTTGTTGTGGTTTTAAAGACATGTCCAAGTCAGAACTCCGCTTCAGCCGCCATGTTTATGACAAACTTGGCGTTGTGGTGTGTGACATACGCTACTCAGTGCTGATTGGCTCGGTTAGAATTCTCAGAGGGTGGGGTTATTTGAATGGGAGAGTTCCCAGACCCTTTCTCTGTGCAGAATTAAACAGAGGAGGAGTCTGGCAGGCCCCCTCTATCCCCCACTCAGGCTACTATAGGCTGAGAAGCTCCAATATCCTGGAGGGTCCAAGAGTAGAACCTCTGCTCTTCAAGCAGCAACTATCTCTTTCACGTGAGAGGTGGTTCTATTCTAATTTGTGACATCACAAACAAAGACATTTTGAAACGGATCGTTTTATGCACATAATTTCTAAGGCCAAAACTGACAGACAATGGATGGACACGTTTTTTTTTTCATGTTTGGAATGTTTTAGAAGAAGAAGAAGAAGAAGAAGAAGAAGAAGAAAATATCATTTCTATGGCGCCTCTCAAGATAAAAATCACGAGGGGCTTCACAAAACAAAAGATGTAAAATATGAAAAAGAATTTAGAAAATGATTAAAGTATATTTAAAACAAGCAAAAAAATAATAATAGACAATTGTGATTAAAAATGTAAAGAAATAGAGAAAGTGAATAGGAAAGAGGGAAATCAGTGGATCCCAACAACACCCCCCACCCCCACCCACCCAAAAAAATGTAAAATAAAAAAAATAAAAAAATGGGTACATCTGCATTCGGCAACACTTCAAAGATTATGCTAATTTACATTACCAAGAGTGAAGCCAGTGATATTTTCCATCCATCAATTCCACTCTGAGCTCAGCTGCATCAGAAAATGCTAGCAGGAACACACAATTCGAACGGACAACAGGTGCAGGGAGACACAAGTGGGACGGTCAGGTCCAGTGTGAGAAAACGAGGAGAATGAAGCGGCAGCAAAAGCCATCGGGGGCGCAGTTTCGAAAAAGAAAAAAAGAAGAAGATAAGAAACGCGCAAAGGAAAAAGGTTGTCGTCTTCCTCCGCTTATCCGAGTCCGGGTCGCGGGGGCAGCATCCCAACTAGGGAGCTCCAGACCGTCCTCTCCCCGACCACCTCCACCAGCTCCTCCAGCAGGACTCCGAGGCGTTCCCGGACCAGATTGGAGATGTAACCTCTCCAACGTGTCCTGGGTCGACCCGGGGGCCTCCTGCCTGCAGGACATGCCCGAAACACCTCCCCAGGGAGGTGTCCAGGAGGCATCCTGACCAGATGCCCAAACCACCTCAACTGACTCCTTTCGATCCGGAGGAGCAGCGGTTCTACTCCGAGTCCCTCCCGAATGTCCGAGCTCCTCACCCTATCTCTAAGGCTGAGCCCGGCCACCCTACGGAGGAAACTCATTTCGGCCGCTTGTATCCGCGATCTCGTTCTTTCGGTCATTACCCAAAGCTCATGACCATAGGTGAGGATTGGGACGTAGATCGACCGGTAAATCGAGAGCCTGGCTTTCTGGCTCAGCTCCCTCTTCACCACGACAGATCGGCTCAGCGTCCGCATCACTGCAGATGCCGAACCAATCCGCTTGTCGATCTCCCAATCCCTCCTACCCTCACTCGTGAACAAGACCCCGAGATACTTAAACTCCTCCACTTGAGGTAGGACCTGTCTCCCGACCCGGAGTTGGCAAGTCACCCTTTTCCGGTCGAGAACCATGGTCTCAGATTTGGAGGTGCTGATCATCATCCCAGCCACTTCACACTCGGCCGCGAACCTACCCAGCAAGAGCTGAAGGTCAGAGCTGGATGAAGCTAGGAGGACCACATCATCCGCAAAAAGCAGAGATGAGATTCTCCTGCCACCAAACTCGACACACTCCACACCACGGCTGCACCTAGAAATTCTGTCCATAAAGGTAATGAACAGAACCGGTGACAAAGGGCAGCCCTGGCGGAGTCCAACCCTCACCGAGAACAGAACTTAAAGTAATTCATTAAATTATTAAAAGTAAAACTCGCATAGGGCGGACCGCCCCTGGGAGAGGGTGATGAAGGTCACACCAAAGCCTGAACAAGTGAGTCTTCAGCTGCTTTTTAAAGGAGTCCACTGAGTCCATTAATCTCAGGCTCAGAGGGAGACAGTTCCAGAGTCTGGGGGCCACAGCAGCCGATGATCTGTCATCTTTGGTCTTTAGCCTGGTGCTGCACAACCAGTAGGCTTTGATCCCTGAAGGCAGTTTATAGAGGCAGTAGAGACTCACTAAAAGATGCTAATTTGAGTTTTGCATATTAGGTCCCCTTTGAAGTTAACAGTGCCGTTCCTAACAAGTCCAAGCAAAACATTAGTTTACAAACATAAACTCAGATTTTTGGTAGAAATTATTGCATTTTTCAGTCTTTGCAATATTTTTTTAATGTTCACATTAATCTTTTTTGCGACGTGCGTCGAGAAGACTCACTTTATCTCTGATAACAATCTAGAGATTTGTTGTTTGAATTTTTGAACATAATTTGTCTCCCGTTAGTCAGCGCGGACGACGACCGCTGGTCACGCCTGATGAATTACTTTCTTTTTCTGCCTGTGGCACTCTGATTTGTTGTTGTTGACAGTCGCTGCCATCTGTAAAATATTTAGCAACAGCTGACCAACCCGTCTGTTTTGGGTGTAACTCAGCATTCTGCATTTGCTCAAAGACTTTTTTTGTTCATTCACCTTTCAGCAAACACAGAGGAAAATGAAGAAGGTAAGGCCATCTGAAACAACAGATCTTAAGATTTGCTCTCAGAAGTTAATGATTTTCCTCTTCTCTGTTTTCCTTTCCTATTTTTGAATACACAGAAGACACAAAGCCCAAGTTAAAGTATGTGAAAGATAACATCAACATCGTTCTCCCAAAAAGATGCCTTTACATTGCAACAATTTTTTATTATTTGTATTCATTAGGCCTGGTTTTGTTCCTGGCTTGGCTCCTCCTAAGATCCCAGATGGAGAAAAGGTTGACTTTGATGTGAGTTCACCTCAGGACACATCAAAACTGGAAGCTGCTTGGAGGTTCAGATCAGCTCCTGTTTCCTCTTTTCTGGTTTTCAGGACATTCACAGGAAACGTATGGAAAAGGATCTGACTGAGCTCCAGACTCTGATTGAAGTTCACTTTGAAAACCGTAAGAAGGAGGAAGACGAGCTCATCCTCCTCACAGATCGCATTGTACGTATGATGCACTGGGTTTTCAGTGCTTCCAGTGTTAGGTGGATTTTGAGTTTGGAGGAATTGTCTTGGAATCTTGAAATTGTCCTTTTTCAAAAAAAAAAAACCTTCCCTCAGGAGAAACGCCGTTCTGAGAGGGCTGAGCAGATGAAGATCAGAGCTGAGAGGGAACGAGAACGGCAGGCCAAACTTGCTGTGAGTGGAGACGCTTCAACACCTTTAAGAAAATGTGCTTCATCATCACGACATGTGTGATCGTGACGTGTGTTTTTTACTCCAGCCAAAATGTTACACATGCAACGAAGTTTTAAAAAAGTCATCAGGAGTCATTTTCACTTTGATTTGATGAAGCTTCATTTAAGTTACTTAAAATAATTTAGAATCATTTTTTAAATGTTTCAACCAGGAAGAAAAGGCCAGAAAAGAGGATGAAGAGGCAAAGAAGAAAGCAGATGAAGATGCAAGGAAGAAGATGATTCTATCCAACCTGAGTTTCACTGGATACAAGGTAGTAAATGTTGTCTTAAACGGGGACACACAACAGGGTTTGTATCGCCTCTTACAGTTTTTTTTCGATTGCTAAAACTCAAAAAACAAAAGTGAGGCGCAATTTTCACAACCTCTACTTCTGTTCCCAATCACTTGACTCAGTTTATCACTACTTAAGATTTCCTTATCATATTAGAACTCTGATTTTCCTCCTTCACACTCTGATGTCAATTTCACATTACCTTGCTGTCAAAACACAACACACAATGTTCAGGTTTACACACACTTCTCACATAAATTCTCAAAGCTTCAATCAACAACACACAAATGTTCAAATCTCTAAACTTTCGGGTCTGGCGAGCAATTTGCAATCAGGGACTGCAGCATAAAAGTAAGTTTCCACAAGGATACCCAGGTGTATGAGTGGTTTCAGGACCACCCACGGTTTTCCATTTTATACCTTCCACCTTATTCCCCCTTCCTCAATCCCACTGAGGAGTTTTTATCAGCCTGGAGGTGGAAGGTGTACGAAAGGAATCCACAGAGCCAGGTCCCACTGCTTCAAGCCATGGAGGAGGCTTGTAGAGATGTGGCCTTTGAGGCCTGTCAGGGCTTCATGAGGCACTCGAGGCGGTACTTCCAGAGCTGCTTGGACCAGGAGGATGTTGCCTGTGATGTTGATGAGGCCCTCTGGCCAGACAGAGACCGGCGGCATGACGCCCCACTGTAAAAATTAAATGTTTTGTCTCAAAATTTGTGTGATGTCTAATGTTTGTCTCAGAGAAAAGTGGGCACTGTCACACATTCAGTGTGTAATTCAATGTGTTCCATTTAGACAATTGTGTTTTCAGTTTTGCTCTTCAGTGTTCTTTCCAGGCTTGGTAGTGTTCACCCAAAGGCTACTTGTGTTTAAGCAATGAATGGTATGTGTGTCATGTGAAAATGTGGCTGTGTTTACCAAATGAAAACACGTGTTCCATTTTGGGAACATGTGACGATATGTGGTGGCGGGGTTTTGTTGCAAAGGGAAGCCACGGTTTAGGAATTTGTGTGTTATGTTTGGGGTTTTGTGTGTGCAGTTTTGAAAGAAATGTACAGTTTTGATAAACGCGTTTTAGCAATCGAAACAAAACCTGTAATATTCATGTGCTTTACTCTCTTCCAGCAGGCACAACCTGGGACAAAAAGACAAACGGAAAGAGAAAAGAAGAGGAAGATCCTAAACGATCGTCGTAAGGAGCTAAACATTGATCACCTGAAGGAGGAAAAACTCAGGTAGACATATTAGGACTTTTTTCTCAAGGTATAATAGTTCCATTTTCGATACAAGACATGTTTATGAAGTTCTTTCCACTAAATCTCTCTTAGATAAACCAATTTCAGCAGTTTTATACTTGACGGTTTTAGTACCTTCCAGATTGAAGTGTATTAGGGCTCTGTCACTTAACAAAAACAAGACGGAGCTGGCCACGCCCACTTATGCCTCACTCATGCTGCTATAAACGGAGACGCGCTGATATATGAGAATGACTCGGCGTAGAGCTGCTCCTCCAACATATTAGAGGTGGTTCTTTACAAAGTTTTTCATTTGTGACATCACAAAAGGATGTTTTTTGAAACAGCTCATTTTGAATACAAAATTGCTTAAAGAAAACACTAAAAAAAACAGATGGACATTTTGTTTTCACATTTGGAGTGTTTATGAAACCAGTAGAGACTAAACATGGCAGCACAAAAGGATGCAAAGGGTGAGTTTTGCATATTATGTCCCCTTTAAGTCAGACTATTTCAACTTTATTATTGGTTTCAAGCTTTCCTTAGTGATCAGTTTCAGACTAAAATAAACATTTTCCAATTCTGCATTATTTGCTGTGTTCATACAGAGAAAAGGCAAAGGAACTGTGGGATTGGCTGCGCCAGCTTGAAGGAGAGAAATTTGACCTTCAGGACCAGCACACAAGGCAGAAGTATGAGGTACAATGTACAGAAGTAACTGAAAAGAAAAGCTGTTCTTTACCTTGTTTGCTAACGTTTTGACTACTTCCTGTAGCCGTCCTCAGAGGTCTGAGGAAGTAGCCAAAACGTTAGCAAACAAGGTCAAGAACAGCTTTTATTTTCTGTGTTTAAAAAGAACCCAAAACTGCAAAATGAAACGATACAAAGAATGAACTTACAGAAGACAGAAATACCCGTTGTGCAATTACACCTGCTTTGGATGAAGGCCAAGGTGTGAACACACAGGAAGACATTGGAGACACCATCGGCATTTGAGACAAGCCGGCTCTGTGGTATCAGAACTGGCCCTGGGCCAAAGATCATAGACTAATAACCATAAACTAAAAGCTAGATCAGAAATAACCACCGCACCTGATAAAATTACAAGCACACTCTTTTATTGTGATGCAGCTTTCACGGTTGAATTAATAATTGCACAATGCCAAGTCCTTCAGGGGGAGAGGCAAAACCAGTCCTAAACATAAAATTAAATGCAATTATTGTGAGAAGTCTTGTCATGATAAAATATCAGTGTACACGTGTAAAACATGCAAAGTGTTTTATCACTGATGTATCTGGTAAATGTTTGATACTCGTCCCACACAGTTTAACAGAAACCTGCAGCTACCCGAGCTAAAAGTCTGTTTATGGAGTCTGGAAACCTGACAACTCATTATTTATACAGTTAGCATTTCCTTTTAAATTTCCTACTTGATGCACAAGAATTCACAACCGGTTCTTTAAAATCTTTTTTTGAAGTTTTAAGCATGAAAAGTCCACTCGTCACTCCCCTGGAGGCGGTTGTTTAGACCTAAACTGAATCTTCTTATTCTACAAATTAATGTAATTTAATGCATACCATTTTGTCTTTTACTCATTCAAAATATTCAAAAACTACATTCAACTGTCTGTCGCTCTTTTGGTCTATGCTTTTTTGCGCAGATCACAGTGCTGAGAAATCGAGTTTCTGATCATCAGAAAGTGTAAGTATGCAGTGTGTGATCATCTAAATTACAACAGAATGCTAAATGTATTTGTTGCTTAAGAGAAGCAGAGTTTTAAAAAAAAGTTAAAGCTGCTGCCAGTGCTTTATTTTCATCGCCATGGTGACCACACACTCCTCAGAGTAGGAAAACCATCTCGAGCAGACCTCTACTGTGCAAAACTCAAGTCAAACAGCAAAACAGTTTCTTTACTCTGGCTGTCAAACATGTAAAGTTTTATGTTATGATTAATCCCTCTCAGTTTCACATGAAGGCCGAACAAGAAAACAGTCTTCCCCTATTTCCTGCATTAGCTGCTGATAGAAAATCGACAGGAAAATGCTCGGGTCAGAAAAAAACAAACACACCTACGTCGCATTGAAAATTTGCATTCATGGGCCCAATCGCAATACTCGCACTTGCACCCTCGTGCCCTTCAATTGCGCTTTCCCGGCCAGGGATGCAAATGCGTAGGGTGTCCCGATTCTCAAATGCGGAAGTTGACCATGTCCCATTGCACCCTTAATCTGCACTTCACCCAAGTCTTTAGCAATGCGGACCTCGGGCAAGGGTATTACCCACAAGTCATTGCTGCGGGAGAAATGGCTCAAGTTTCTTTTCTGTTCATATGCATTTTCTAATAAAAGAAGTTCATTTTCGAACGATTACTTGATGCTCTGAATGTTTTAGACAAAGCAGCAATGATGTTAATTTTTTTCAAATAATTGCTTTGTTTGTTGGAAAGTTGTAAATAAAGATTTTTGAAAAAGGTTTCCCAGCGACCAGCATCTCGGCACGTGTTGCGATCGATGACGCAATGGTCCCTGTCTCAATTCTGCAATTATTTGCACACTTGTGCACTACACGCTTGAACCCTACTGTGCACGTTCTCCAAGTGCACTTCACTGAAGACCGCAGGGCGCGGTGCGAGTACTGAGATTGGGCCATGGACTCTTTCATCTTGGCTCGTGACTGCAGAAGGCTGTTGTTGGGTTAGCTTACAGGAAACAGCAGATAATGACTCGGCTAGTAGAAGCTAACCGTTAGCGTTAGCAACTTCACCACACGGCAGAAATCCTTCAGGATTGGGTTATTTCTGTAGATAAAACATCTATGTTGCAGAATGAACAGAGGCAGTGGAAGAGTTGCTGTATGGCCAATCAGAGTGAGATGTCAGATGATCATGAATGATAAGACTCCAAATCCTGCCGTTTTGTACACCCTCTTCTCCAACTAACTTCTACTTCCTGAAACAGGAGCACCAGGGTTGTTATTTTTGCCCATGTACAGTAGATGGTCCCAAAAGACATGGATTGTTAGAGACCATGACCAATTTATTGAAGCAATGAGTGAATGAGAGTGTAAAAAAGATTACATCCAGTTTTACAGGGAAAATTCTAAATTGGGATACATTTTGTGTGAGCTATAGATGTTCAAAGAGATACAGGTTTTTTCTTGTTTCACCACAGTCCCACAGATCCGAAAATGGAGATTTTTCACAGCTTTTTTTATTTCATCATCCACAATACAAACACAAAAAGTAAAAGCAAATCAACTAATTTCTATTTGTGCACCTTTGTAAACATTTACAGAAGCTTTTCCTAAAGTTCTTGCCCTCATTTTCTTATCGTAGCGTAACTCTCCCTTTAGTTTTCCAAATCTGTAACAGAAGTGAGTGCCAGCTTTCTGACAGCAGGGCTTAAGTTTTCTCAGCACACCCAGCCAAATAGACCTGAGTAGACAAAAGTGCACGCAGGCAAGGTTTGTTTTAACAAGTCAGCTATCTAAACAACAAACATGTGTTTTGACTCAGGAGGGATATCATCTCTATTCCTGTAGCGTCTATTAATACGGCATCAAACAATGATGCTACCTTGTTCATGACCCACCAAAAGTTTTGTAAAAAAGGTTTTTATTTCTCTTTAGAAATGAGTTTGATTAAACTAAACCTTTGGAGCAGCTGCAGCTTAAAGGTGTGAGTTAAAACTGCAGCAACTGCAGATAAGAATAGTCGGTTATTCATTTGCAAAGTTTTTTTTTATTAAGAGGACGGCTTTAAAAAAAATCTCACAGTAGGTTAAGTGAAGCCGTGAAGCAGCCGCTTTTTGGAAGTTTTCCTTGTAATGAAAAAAACTCATGAAATTAGGAAGAAATTAAGATGTTACAACGTTGCTTTATTAATAAAAGCCACACATTTTGCAACAGCTACAGCCTGGAAGACAGAATTCCTTTTGTTCACTTTTCCAGGTCGGATGAAATTTCATCCCCATAATTCCTAAAACACGAGGAGACCGGAGTTAATTTTATCCCACAACAGGATAATCACATAAAACTCTAACATGCGTCAGCTTTATTTGAAGAATAGGTTTAGTAGCTCAGCACTTTAGTCATTTATCAACATTTTCTGGCAGTAATGGAGCAAACAGCACAGTCTCTGGGAGATGCTTTGCAGGAAGCATGGGGTGATGTTTTACCACATTAACAGACATAGTATGCTTGAGATCCGCCTTTTTAATAATGCAAATTTCAAGTAAAACATTGACATTTTCCATTAAGGGCATTTTTGTAACCAGCCCAGTCATTCTCCTAACCTGGCAGCATCCTATTAGCTTTAGCTTAGCAGAAAACAATGTAAGTGAATGGTAACAGTTAGCATTTCTAGTGAAAAAATCATGAAATTTACATAATAGGGATCTTAATTTTTCTTGGTGACCTCAATGGACTGCAAATGAAAATAAAATGTAAAATGAAGAAATTACAAGAGCCGGTTTAGATTTGGGACCACATTACGACAAAGCACCGCTGTAATGGGCCATTCCCATCTGTACCGGGTCGGCCCGGGCCGGGTAGCATAGGTTGTTTACATATCTGGGTGGCCTGGTATTTTTCGGGGCCAACCAAGGCTCATTCTCTGCCCTCTTCTTGAGGGGGTCTGCTTCAGGCCGACCAGGGCCAACACACCCACTGCTGACAGCAAATTCACACCTTCCATTAGAGCAAGCCTCTGATTGGTGGGTAGAATCAGCCCACATGGGCTTAAGACAAGGATGTGTGGAATCAACTGGGCCAGGCTGGGGCCGACTGGGGCTACCCGGCCCGGGCCGACCCGGTACAGATGGGAATGGCCCATAGGCCTCCACTGCAAGGTGCAAGGACATGATGCTGCGGCCCCAAAACTCACCATTCACTTTCATTTGGGTGAAATGTTGTGAATGTTGTATTCCATACCACTTTATTTATATAGCACATTTAAAATACAGCATGAGAGGTGACCAAAATGCTGCTCGGGCAGGTTCATTAAAAACAAAAGACAAATAATAATAATAAAACAATGAAAGTAAAACCATCAATGCAAAGAAGTAAAAGCAAATACAGGTCCTTCTCAAAAAATTTGCATATTGTGATGAAGTTCATTATTTTCTGTAATGTACTGATAAACATTAGACTTTCATATATATTAGATTCTGGTGGCACAGTGGTTAGAGCTGTTGCCTAGCAGTGAGAAGGTCCTGGGTTCGCTTCCCAGCCTGGGATCTTTCTGCATGGAGTTTGAATGTTCTCCCTGTGCATGCGTGGGTTCTCTCCGGGTACTCCGGCTTCCTCCCACAGTCCAAAAACATGACTGTTAGGTTGATTGGTCTGTCTAAATTGTCCTTAAGTGTGTGTGTGTGCGTGCGTGCGTGCGTGCGTGCGTGCGTGCGTGCGTGTGTGTGTGTGTGTGTGTGTCCTGTGTGTCTCTGTGTTGCCCTGTGATGGACGGCTCTCTGTCCAGGGTGTACCCCGCCTGATTGCCCATTGACCGCGGGTGATAGGCACCAGCCCCCCCGCGATCCTACATAGACAAAGCGGGTTCAGACAATGGATGGATGGATATATTAGATTCATTACACACAACTGAAGTAGTTCAAGCCTTTTATCATTTCTAATATTGATGATTTTGGCATACAGCTCATGAAAACCCAAATTCCTATCTCAAAAAATTAGCATATCATGAAAAGGTTCTCTAAACTAGCTATTAACCTAACCATCTGAATCAACTAATTAACTCTAAACACCTGCAAAGAGTCCTGAGGCTTTTAAAAACTCTCAGCCTGGTTCATTACTCAAAACCGCAACCATGGGTAAGACTGCTGACCTGACTGCTGTCCAGAAGGCCATCATTGACACCCTCAAGCAAGAGGGTAAGACACAGAAAGAAATTTCTGAATGACTAGGCTGTTCCCAGAGTGCTTTATCAAGGCACCTCAGTGGGAAGTCTGTGTGAAGGAAAAAGTGTGCCAGAAAACACTGCACAAAGAGAAGAGGTGACCGGACCCTGAGGAAGATTGTGGAGAAGGACCGATTCCTGACCTTGGGGGACCTGCGGAAGCAGGGGACTGAGTATGGAGTAGAAACATCAAGAGCCACCGCCATCTCCAGCTGTCTCCAGGCAAACAGGCGGGGTACACCCTGAACAGGTAACAAGTCCATCACAGGGCAACACAGAGACACGCAGAACAAACAACCATGTACACACACTCACACCCAAGGATAATTTTACAGAAACCAATCAACCGAACATTCACGTTTTTGGACTGGGAGGAAGCCGGAGAAGCCAGAAAAAACCCTCACATGCACAGGGAGAACTTACAAACTCCATAAATCAGTATCATTTAACCCTACAACTCCACCTTTTTATTTATTTGTTTAACCTTTATTTATCCAGATGAGTCAACTGAGAACTCATTCTCATTTACGATAACGATCTGGCCGAGAGGCAGCAGCAGCAGACACACCAAAGAAAAACAGATCAGATTAAAACATGTAAGATAAAGGCTAAAGGCTGTTCTCATATATAAGATGAACAAGCAATCAAAACAGACCTAAAACAATCTTTAACTACTCAGAAGCAGGCACATTGATCAGAAACTATTGATTGCAATGAATTATTGAAAGTAGATAATGGAAGCAGCAAACTGGAATGAGGAGCGGCCAAAGGAGGTGCGAGCTTTGGGAATAACCATAGACTAAGCTACTGGAACGTAAATTGCACCAGTTGTTGGAAGTGATGAGTAATGAACGAAGATTCGACAGGGTTCTACCGATTGTTTTGCATATAAACTGATACCAATGTAACAACCTGTGGGAATGGAGTGTTAGCAATCGAGTACAAATCACAATGAGGAGTAGTGAAAGGGGCACCAGTGGCAAAATGGATCGCCGAATCTTCTGATAATTTTTTTTGGCAAGAGAGTGGATGAGGAGAGTTCAAACACAAGAAAGTAAAAGTAGACAAACGTCCTATGCAGCAGGGTTTATCACAGATCGATTTCAAAGTTTTTCCCTGCTGACTTTATTTTCAGCTCAAAGGGCAGCAGGAGCAAACGAGGCCTGAGGAAGTAACACCTGACATCTGCTGCGTGGGAAACATCAGGCATCGACTATTTGATCATGTTTTCTACTTAAGTGCAAATTTGAAGAATTAAAAAAGTAAATCTTGCATGCTGTAATAGTGGTGAGACTAGATAAAGTTTACAGTTGTATGGCAATCCAGTGTGGCACAATTTGTATGACAGACTGTAAAATTAAACACAAATCAGGCTACTCATTTTGCTTTTGTACATGTTTTGTGGTTGCTGTAAAGTTAAACAAGTATTCAAAAACACTGAGATGTAGAGAGTTTTCTTCACTTACAGAAATTAGATGCATCAAACTTTTATAATCTTTTGTACCAATGTTCTGCCAGATGCTAAATGTTCAGTAGAGTGGCAGATTAGTGGCCTTGGTCTTTATTTTATGTTCATCAACAGGCTTGTGGGTTTATGTAAAATTGCCATTTATCTCTCTGTGGTCAAATTTAGTTTCACAAATCTTAAAATAAATAAATTAATAAAAAAAATAATTAGCTGCCAGAGGGGATTCTAAGCTTCGCCCCTGACCTTGAGATTAGGTGTAAAGGTCTGTTAATGTGTGAAAATCTGACATAACTCACAAAAAACAACCTCAGCTGTAGTTTCTGGTTCCAATAGCTTCTCCATGCAAGTCTGGGAAGATCAGTAATGTCTCTCCTTTTTTCTCCACCCTCATCGTGACTTTTACCCTCCAGGCATTTCAAACCTGACTGCCAAAAATCAAGATGAGACAGCAAAGTGTGATGTGGTTTAGAAAAAAAACTTTCCACTGCAACAGAAACGACAAATGCAGCACACACAAAAAACTCACTCACTTTGCAAATGGTGCAGCGAATTTCTGCCAGCTTTATTGCAACTAATCAGACACAATTTAAATCATTTATGGATTGCACACAAGAAAATACTACAAATTACCCAAAAAGTGATGCTGACAAAAAGCTATGAAGGTTAATTTTACAAGAAATCCATTTTATTTTGTTGCTACTTGATATTAAAACATAATTCAGTACAAAATAAAATTATTGGAATTTTATAAGTACAAAGCAAGCTAAATTGAAAACAACTACGTTTATTCATCAGTGTTAAAACTATAACATTGAGACTTTTACCACTTGTCAGATCGGAACCTTCACCTTCTTTTTATACATAAAAACACAATTTTATAGCATTTACATGCAGCATGAATGCATAATGGGGAGTTTCTGTTTAAAAATAAAGATCTGATTGGATGAGTTCATGTCCAGAGGGCCTGCAGACCTTCAGGAAAAAGGCTTCCAGAGCTCAGTTTAGTGGTGCCAATCAATGCTCAGTGAGCGAACTGCATGCTGCTGTCGTCGTGTCGTTAACAAACATCGACTTGTTCATCCCATTCTGCAGGACAAAAAGATTTAAATCAGTGTTTACATTTTGGTAACGGCCAAACTTACGCTGACAGTCTCCTAAACTAATTAGCTGTCTGCTGGCAGCCGATTCCCAACGGTATCCTTTGAAGTTATAAAGTGCAAACCACATCCAGCAGGTGACTCATCAAACCTGACTCGTGGGATTCCTCGTCCGCTGTATGGAGTTACATTGTCTCCCGCTTTTCCTCCCCTAAGAACGTGCCCTAATCCTTCAGCCTTTCCTTCTGTTTCTCACAAATACCTGAGAGAGGCGAGGACTTTTGTGTCTAATGTAAGAGGGACACACCCTTACTCCGACAGGTTTTGGCACATAGGGTTGAGCCTCAACTCACCTTTTTCACGTAGCTTTGCAGATCTTTATCTGCCCAGATTCTGTAGAGAAGAATGGCTGCAGCTTTGCTGGATTTGGGGTGACAGCTGTAGAGAAAGAAGGGGAAAATATCAGAACGTGTGGAAATTTGCACAATCCAACTAATGAGGAGTCATAGTCATTTCATGCAGGCCTATTAGCATGTTGGCTCTTTGCCTTACGTGTTGCTGTGATTACTCAGGAGTTTGATCAAGTTGTTTGTTAAGTAATTTTTGTTGGACTCCGGGTTATTCAGAAGCAGGACGGTGGTGGACTGGCACGCCATGGCGTATGTGTCATCAGACTCTGCGGTCACTTCAGTGTGTCCGAGAACATCAATCAGCCTTGGGAGAGCTTCACGACCTTCAATGAGAGAAAAACAAAAACGCTGACTGCTTAACACAACCGCACAATTGCAGGATATTAAACTTGATGATAATAGTTGATTTCAAATAGTTCAGCAATTTGTGATTCGGGTTTTGGACCTGCCCCTTACCGATGAGACTGTACAAATTTTCGTTCTTTAGCAGGTTAATTAGCAACGACATGGCGGCCCTCTGCAAGTCATCTTTGTTGGACTTTAGGAGAGGGGCGATAGCCTGCATGCCATATAATTTCTTCACAATGATCTGACCGATTACTTCAGAAACCTGGACAAACAAAGAAGCAGAACAACTCAGACCATCAAACCAACCGGAGGACCTCCATCACACTAGTTACCAAAAAGGTTTGGGAACACATTTAAAGAGTTGAATAAAATGTATTTTTGTTTGTGTTAACATTTTAATTGGTAGCCTGGACCTTTTTGAGTCCAGTTTGTGTTTTGTTATCTTTGCAGAAAAAGAGTCAATTCAATTCAGTTTATTTGTATAGCGTCAAATCACAACAAGAGTCGTCTGAAGAAACTTTACAAAGTAAACGTTCCAGTTAAGCTTGTAATGCCAATCAGTTAAAAGCTTTCTATGCAAGAAATCCCAGCAGACTGCATGGAGTCACTGACTTGTCAGACTTTACAGCAATCCCCATACTAAGCTAGTATGTAGCGACAATGGAGAGGAAGAATGGTAAAGGGCGTGTGTTTGAATAGCAACTTTTAGGGTCCCAGCAGAGAAAGCTGCTGTTGCGTCCTTGGGCTAGACACCGAGACCTGGAATAAAGTTGCTGTTTAACAACATGTACGCATGTTTAAAGTGGCTGCCTCGTGTAACCTGTGTTGATTTGAAGCGTCGTTTGTGCACGTTTGCATGCTGCAAGTATCGAGTAATCAGTAGGTAGAGTTGACAAAAGGAGCGATACACACCCAGCATGGTGACCGTCTCTGGTTTAGAGGTCCTTTATATTTTCCACGATCCCACTGCTGTCTTTTCTTCTGCCATGATCCCAAAATTAGTCAGTCACTGATCTCTTCTATTGATGCAGTGTTTGTTTTGGTTGTACCTTACAAAACCAGGGCCCTCATTTATCAACCGTACGTACGAACAGATCTGTGCGTATTTCGTGCTTGGGAACGATTTTACGCATCGTGTGGTATTTACCAATTTGTACTTGTGCGTGAAAATGTTCCTTAATATAAGAACAGCTCTGACCATGAGTAGGAACAGCATCTAGTGGTGGAACGGGGAACAGCAGTACTGAAGGTCATCCACGCGTGTTCCTCATCCACAAATTATATTTACCCAGTATGTAGTTATGTCGGTGGAAAAATGGCTTTGCGCATAATTGGATCTAAAACCAACAAAAGGCACATGTGACCGACGGGAATCTGACATTATATCATGACTAATCTGTGTTATTTGACAATTTAACAGAGCGTGCACACGTTCTCCTTAAGCGCACTAGGAAAACCTTCTGCTATGTTTTGATTTGGGACCCTTTGTGGCACGACAGCCAAACCTCACGAATCAGATTCCAGTTCTCTTTTTTTTAACTACAACGACCCCCCCCAATCACTTCCTGCTCCCAGGTCATACACGCAACTATACTGAATCCGAGAAGAGGCTGAGGCTGAACTCTAACAACATTTCCAAATAAAACCAACTCCAAACAGAATGACTCCTTTAATGTAAATGAGAACCTGTTGCTCTACAATTATCAAATAATTTTTTTATTTCTGGCGGGAACCTCTCCTCTGTCCCGACCGCGTTTTTAACCTCTGCAACTTGTTTTTTTGCTTTTCGGCAACCAGTGTTTCAATCTCATTCTCAATAAAAGTTTTTCTTAATTGTCTGGAAAAAAACAGAACTTCCTCACATGCTGAGGACATAGCAAGACCAAATATGGTTAATTGAGGGCATTTCTGTATGCAAATGATGGTGAGCAGACACAAGAACCTGGGTATGCACAGGTGGGATTTATCATCAGTACGAGAGGCCACCGCATGTTTCATAAATCAGTCTTTTGACTGTTCGTACACAAATTCTAAACTTCGGTCGTAGGAGGGAATATAGGAATGTTTGATAAATGAGGGCCCAGGACTTTATCTGGCCGAAATCTCTACTGTGCCCACTAATGGAACGCTCCAGTACTACACGCAGTGCAGCGAAGCAGCAAGCATGTGAACAGAGACGCAGCCTGTTGCCTGCGTCACCACAAGGTTAGAAAAACCAAAATATTCCAGGCCTTAACCCTACCTGCCTGCTGGTGGCGCCTGTGCTCGACCGCCTCATCTCTGTCAGTGTGCCCCAGGGGAGCTGTGGCTACATTGTAGCGCATTACCACCAGGGTGTGAATGACGGATGTGTTGTAAAGTGCCTTAGGGGGTTCTAGGACTCTAGAAGGCGCTATATCACATACAGACAACTTACCATTTACACACTGATGGTGATGAGCTGCAATATATAGGTGGGGGTATTACTCCTAACAAACTCGTAGTTGTATAAATTGCAAACTGATCATTATGTGATGTCATGAGAATTTCGTACAATGCCTTTAGAAGCGGTGAGATTGTGCATGGACCCACAGCAGGCTTTCTTCAGCTCATCCCGCTGACTCCTCTTCAGCAGAGACAAGTAACTCTGCAGGAGTTTGGAGTGGATCAACCAACCCACCCCACTGGGATGCGGATTCTCGACGACTGGATAGTCAAAGGGGCGCTAAATGAGGACAGACAGGTTATTATATGTTGCAGCCATTTCCAGAAGCCCAAAATACAGTGGTGATTTTTCACATGACAACATACTACATTTCTCCAAATGATGCTTTTTTGCATTTGGTAGGTCTATTTAATCCTAATTGAATAGTTGGCAAAAGAAATTCAAGCTTCTAAGTCTGCTAAAAATCAGAATCCAAAGCTCATTTTCGTTCAAGTACTTTAGATTCGGATGTGAAACCGTAATAACAGGGATAAACATGTCTAGACTAACAGGTACTTGGTGCTTGCTGGTGTGGAGTCAGGCTCAGTGACGGTCTCACTCACGTCATGCTCTGAGGATTTGCCTGGTGGATTGAAGCAGCCAACAGCACTCCCACTGTTCTGAATCTGACTCCTGTTGGCAGGAATCAACGTTTTGATCCTCTCGAACAGAGAAGGAACCTCTGCTTCCAGCTGGAACGTCAGATTGTGCAGGATGCACACACTGTTCTCTAATGGCTGCAACAAAATGTTTGAAAAAGAAGAAAATCATAAGTCATAGTCCACATGATACGTGTTTGACTCTGCAGCACAGCTCGTTTTTTGTTTAAAAGTTACATGTATGTGATATGTACCTCATCATCAACATCTTTCTCCTCACAGCTTTTCAGGTAATTGACTAAAGAGTCGATCAGACCTGGACATTTCCTCATGGTCTGTCTGCTGTTTTGGTTGCCGCTGCTGAGGTTTCTGAAAAACAAAAATTGAAAAATTTATCAAACAATCAGAGTTAAATAAAAAACAATGGTGGCAACCACATGCATCCCAGCTGCAGGCTGGAATAGAAACCTGTTTATTTTTGTTTCAGTGCTTCAGAGTCATTTTGTTCTACTTTTTAAATGAAATTTTGAAACTCGCTTTTTATACTGAATGACATTTCTCAGCTGCAGATGGAGTACATCAGATGTACATTAGCAGTTTTTACACAATGTTTCAACAGGTCAATCAACTGTTCTACATCACACCCATGTGTTTACTGACACAGCAGATAAGATAAACCAGTGTAATCTCTAACACTGCTCTGTGCTGTTCTAAACCTGCTGTTACGAGCTCAAAGGGCTTCAGGAGCGTCTGAACAAAGGAAACAAGCCGCCATGTTTGTGTAGGTTTAGCATTTAGAAAAAAGGAAGAAAAGCACAAAAATTATTCATGTATAACGCAAAAGCGAGAGAGAGAAGACAAGAGAGAGAAGATCCAAAGTGCCAATAATGCAAAGGTAAATGGTAAAAACTATAAATGGCCTGTATTTGATGTAGCGCCTTCTAGAGTCCTGGAACCCCTCAAGGCACTTTACAACACAATCAGTCATTCACCCATTCACACGCTGGTGGTAATGAGCAACGATGTAGCCACAGCTGCCCTGGGGCGCACTGACAGAGGCGAGGCTGCCAAGCACTGGCGCCACCGGTTCCTCCAACCACCACCAGCAGGCAAGGCGGGTTAAGTGTCTTGCCCAAGGACACAACGACAGCGACAGACTGAGCGGGGCTCGAATCTGCAACCTTCCGATTATGAGCCTAGCACTTAACTCCTGTGCCACCATCACTTCATAGTGAAGTAGATGAGGTTGAAATTGGTCCCCAATTATTATCAACTCACAAACCCTCTTTTTCTTGGACATGTTTCAGATATGTTCAACCAGTTTCAGAATCACAAGTTTTCATCATCATATGTGCGAGGATCACAACATTACGAATTTGCTGCAGTACTTGGTCCAAGTAAACATAATCGCAAAAATTTGAATTAAGAAATAAACAGTGAAATGATAATGATTTATGACAATGAAATGTTGTCTTGATATTTAACAACATGCCTAAAATTAGGAAGATTAGCTTACCGGAGGCATGCTGTAGCATTAGTGAAGACATAAGGGTCTCTGTTTGCATTGCTGGTGATGTCCGGAGTCTTTGTGTTTGGGACGATCACACGCTCCATTAGAGTGGACAGACTCTCCCTTAACAATACCGACTTCAGGTCATCTTCAGAGGATAAGTTCCACAGGAGACCTGGGAAGCAAGATGAACTTTCATTCAAAATTTGGAAGACTATGATAAAAGGTGATGGTTGAAATAGGAAAGATGTAAACACACTGACACTAGTCAGTGATTCGATGCAATCTGCTGGGCTCCTTTTAGGAAACTTGGCTTAATGAACTGAACTGTATTGGAAAGTTTATTTTGTGAAGTGCCTTGAGATGACTCTTGTTCTCACTTGGCTCTGTATAAATAAACTGAATTGAATCTCATCCACATTAAGCTGAATGACCAAGTCGAGGTGAACGAGGTTTTAAATGTCAGCAATCCTCAGCGGAACATCAGAACTCGGCAGGATAATGTAACGCCCACACAAACGGCTCTCTGTTTGACTCGTTGGTTTGGTTAGGTGAGCCCATGCAACAGGAGTTTGACATTTCATAGCTCTAGTGTGTACCTGTGAGTTGTTTGTCGAGGTCTACGGAGCCGGATTGTTTGAGCTGATCCGTGATCATCGTGATGCCACCACAGTGAAATATCTCCTCTTTGTTGGGGCTGCTCTTGAAGGACAAGTTACGCAGGGTGGCGGAGACTACGTGTTTGACCATTGAATTGGAGCTGGGCAGAAGGGCCAGCAGGGCAGGGATGCCCTTTAGCTTCAATACCTGCAGGACAAAAAGGCTCATGGATTAGCACGACTGCCGAGTGCAGCAGTTTTAAGAAGCCGAATAACTTATTTGCCAAGTTTACGGTAAATGAGATCAAGATAACACAGGACATTAAGAAATGTTAAAAATGGTTTAAAAATTATTTATTTTAGTGAAGCATCAAAATGAAATTTTTGGGCCGACACCAATATCTGATATCAATATCACCGTTATGACCGATAATTGCAGATACCAACATACTCGCATTAATGCTTCTACAATCAGCAGATTTTGTATAGATTGAAAATTATTAAAGCTGAATTTTTTATTATGTACACACACAACACACATTTACGCTTCTGAGATTATTAAAATCACTGTCACATGACTAAACAAATGACCAACACCCCCTTCACCCCCTGAAACAGGTAAACAAATAGAAACAAGATGAAATAAATATTGTTTGTTAATATCGGCCCAGTTTTATTTCTTGAACCGATGCTGATAAGTTAGAAAAGTTAGAAAATGACTAACATCGGCAGATACCAATATCGATGCCGATTTATTGTGCATACCTAATTTATTTATTAAAATAAGTCTTTTTTTCTGATGCAGGACTTTCTTCTGTGCTGGATCTCAAGCTGCAATAACAAATCTGCAAAACAAGTTAGCTTAAAACACTTTTTTCATGCCTCTTAACAACATTCTTACACAGTATAGCAGCTATAAAACATTTGTGGAGTGGTTGTCTGGCACTTCACCCAATAACACTGCACGGACTGAAAGCAACTATTGGACGATCCAGTTGTCGATCTCACCAAACCACCACACTTCCCCTCAATATCATCAGAGAAGGAGAAAAGGCCGGCTGCTACCACTTCAACTTTAGGACAAACTACCAGTCCCAGAAAGAAAAACAACATTTGAAGTCATGGAAAAGAAAACACATTTGGATCTAGAAAACAGCAACTGGTGTTTAGCAATATCTCTTTGCTATGGCAATGCACTGTCTGGTTCTGGAGAATGTGGCCTATATCATCGATCCATTTTCAGCTGCTTATCCGGAGTCAGGTCATGGGGCAGCATCCTAAACCAAAAGGCCCAGACTTCCCTCTCCCAGCTACTTGGACCAGCTCCTCTGGGGATTCTCAAGGTGTTTCCTGGCCAGCTGGGAGACACGGTCCCTCCAGCGTGTCCTGGGTCTTCCCTTGGGTCTCCTCCCGGTTGGACGTGCCTGGAAAACCTCACCAGGGAGGAGTCCAGGAGGCATCCTAACCAGATGCCCGAGCCACCTCAACTGGCTCCTCCTGGCATGGAGGAGCAGTGGGTCTACTCCAAGCCCCTCCCAGATGACCAAGCTTCTCACCCTATCACTAAGGGAGAGCCCAGCCACCCTGCAGAGAAAACTCATTTCGGTCACTAATATCCACGATCTCGTTCTTTGGGTCACTACCCAAAGATATGAGAGTATAGGGACGTGGATCAACCGGTAAATCGAGAGCTTTACCTTCTGGATAAGCTATCGCTTCACCATGACAGATTGGTACAATGCCAACACCTCTGCAGACGCAGCACCAATCCACCTATCGATCTCATGCTCCATTTGACCCTCACTTGTGAGCAAGACCCCGAGATACTTAAAACTCCTCCACTTGAGGCAGGACATCGTCCCCGACCTAGAGAAGACATTCTACCCTTTTCTGATTTATGACCATGGTGTCAGATTTAGAGGAGTTGATTCTCATCCCAGCCGCTTCACACTCAGCACAAACCGCTCCAGCGAAAGCTGGAAATCTCGCTCTGATGAAGCCAACACATCATCTGCAAAAAGTAGCTTCTTAGGCCACTAAAACAGATCCTCTCAACACCTTGGCTGTGCATAGAAATCCTGTCCATAAAAGTTATGAACAGAATCGGTGATAAAGGGCAGCCTTGGCGGAGTCCAACACTCACCAGAAATTAGCTCAACTTGATGCCGGCAATGCAAACCAAGCTCGGACACCGGTCATACAAGAACCTAACAGCGCGTATCAGAGAGCCCAGTACCCCATACTCCCGGAGTGCCCCCCACGGGGGGGGGGGGGGGGGGGGGGGGGTAATTCCACCCACCGATCCACAACATCTCGAGTAGGTCAGCAGTACACCACCACCACTGTAAACAGTGTTGGTAGCGCACTGCTTTCTCCTCCTGAGACACCAGATAGTGGACCAGAATCTCCCAAAGCCATATGGAAATCTTGCTCCATGGTCTCATCGAACTCCTCCCAACTCCCATGCCCAGGTTTTTGCCTCCGTGACCACTTGAGCCACATTCCACTTGGACTGCCGGTACCCATCAGTTGTTTCTGGAGTCCCACAGGCCAAAAAGACCCGAGAAGACTCTTTCTTCAGCTTGACAGCATCCCTAACCACCAGTGTCCACTAGCAGGTTCGGGGGTTGCCACCATGACAGGCACAGACAATCATGCGGTCGCAGGTCCTGTCAGCCACCTTAACAATGGAAGCATGGAACATGGCCCCATCGGACTCAATGTCCACCACTTCCCTCGGGACATGTTTGAAATTCTGTTGGAGGTGGGATTTAAAGCTCCTTCTGACAGCAGACTCTGCCAGATGTTTCCAGCAGACCCTCACCAAACATTTAGGCCTGCCAGGTCTGATCGCCTTCCTCCCCCACATCAAAGCCAGCTTACCACCAGGTAGTGATCAGTTGACATCTCCGCCCCTCTCTTCACCCAAGTGTCCAAGATATGCGGCCGCAGATCAGATTAAACAACAACAAAGTCGATCATTGAACTGCGGCCTAAGGTATCCTGGTGCCAAGAGCACATATGGACACCTTTATGCTTGAACGTGGTGTTCATTATGGACTATCCATGATGTGCACAGAAGTCCAACAACAAAACACCACTCAGATTCAGATCAGGGGGGCCATTCCTCCCAACACATTTCATTTGAAATGCCCAAGTGTTGAAGCCAGGCACACATGATACTCCTAGGAATGATACTCAACAGAATGGTTGAGTGTTCCATGATTGTGTTTAGATTTAAAAGCTAGATTGTTCTGCATGTTTGCTATAAAAGCTTTGGAGTAACGCCAACCAAATTTTTTAACTTTAAGCTAGAGCTTTAATGTTGATCTCAATGATTGTTGAGTTAGAAATTTGACTAGTTTCATATTTGACCCCACTCTGCAGCCCTCTACTGGCCAGAAACAGCTCTTAACAAGTTTTATGGAGCATGTAGGTGTCCTAGGGGGCGCTGCTTAATGGCTGTTAGCTATTTTACATGCCCGTAGCAAATGAAAGGCTACCAATTAGCTTTTTCATGTCCCGGCCGTCAATAAAAAAAACGAGAAGAATAAGAAAGAAGTTGGCTTCTTTGTTGGCATAATAACAGAGCCTGGAAGGAAAAGTGAAAGAGTAATCTCTTTGGAAGTGAAGCAAAGAGCTAAAACCAGAGGGAACATCAGCACGGCTAGTTTGAGGGAGCTAAGGAAGGCTACAAAATCCCAGACTGATGGTGACCTGGCTTTGTTGCTACTGGACTTGTAATAATTTTTACAACAATGCAGATATTTTTAATTTGTGGCTTATTTAGTAAGAATTGGCTCCTGTTAGTGTTAGCTCATTGTTAGCACTAGCAACAGCAGGCCGCTGCCTGCAAGGTTGTTAGTGACAGTTGTAATTCCACTTTCAACCAGTAGAGTGGGTACGCTGGAAATTGTTTAGCTCCCTGAACTAACGCAACAGTCAAAAAAGTGTGTATTTTTATTTTCCTTCATCTGAACCTCATATTTCCTGTTTTATTTCCTCATATTGACTCAAAGCTATCAAGCCTATGCAGTCAAAGCCCAATGCCACTACTTCTCATTAATTATGAAGTGGATCTGGCCTTCAGGATTTGGGCTAATTGTGATTCTGGTGCAATTGTGAATAATGGTGCATAATGTATGAAATTTCCCAAATTGTCCATGCTGTTTTTGATTAGAGGAATTCTAATCAGGGAAACATCATCAAAACATTCACAAAACTAAACAAGAACAAGTTACAGCACCTCTTCTTTTGATCTGTCGTTATTGAAAGTGTTTTGCTGAATGCAGGAAGCACCAAAGAGCTGATAATTCTCATCCTTGCTGGAAAGAAACTCCACAGCCTCCTTCATGTTGACTTTGGCCATATTTGCTCTGTGAGGGGAAAAAAACCCCAATTAAAATTGAATATTTAAAAAAAAAATAACATCAAGCTGAAGAAAGTTGGTTATTTTTACACTTACTCTGACTTTGTTGTTTTGGTTGGACCATCGGTGACCAAGGTCATTGATTGAGTCTGTCTCATGTCCGTTCGACTCGCTTTCAAATAGTTGTTTGTTTTTGTTGGATATGAACCATTTGGAACATCCACAGGGTGAGGCCGTGAGGTGTTCTTCCTTATGAACTTGCTTGAGCATTGCTGGTTCCTGTAGATGCCCGTGTTGGATGGCAGCCTCTGCGTTGGGATGGAAGGCCTCGGAGCGCCGTAGCTCCAGGAAGGCTCGCTCCGGCTGGAGTTAAGTTGGCCTGCTGGCTTTGGGCCAGTGACGGAATAATTCCTCATGTAGCGAGAAAATGTTGTGTTCGTCCTCATAGACGTGATTTTGTTGTTGGAATTCTGAGGACTGCTCAGGCTTCTGTCAATGCTGTACTGTAGATTCAAAAAAGGATCTTTGTCAGGAGGAAGGAAACGGATTTAAACTGCAATGTTTGTTTGTTTATGTATTTAGCAGAAGCTTTTGTCCAAAGCAACTTACAGGTGATAATCAAGCCATCAGGTTGTCCTTGAGGCTAACAAACACTAACCAGTCAATCCTAGGTGGCAGTGAGGCAGCATAATCAATCATAGCAACGAGACTCGTGTGGGGTCTGAAACAACATATCTAACCATGAACGCTGATTTACAACAATGTGGTGCAGCGCCTGGCAGGTTAAGGAGAGCTAAACTTGACTGACTCTTTTCAAGACATGAAAAAAGATGTGAGAACAAGTTTTTTTTTAGGTGAAAATTAGGTCAAATTTTAATTCTGGATTTAGAAATAGACCAAAGGTGAAGAATCTTTCCTCGTATCAGGTAACACATCCAAGCAAATCTGACCAGATTTTAAAACTTAATAATAATTTAAAAAAAGACTGAAGATCTACTCAACCATACAACCTACAATTCACCTGCTAGAGCAAATCACAGGTGTTTGTTATTCTCAGGAGATTAAAAAATAGCAACATTTGTCAAATAAGCAAATGCAGCGCACCAGGCTAAAGACCAAAGGTGACGGATCATTTGCTGCTGTGGCCCCCAGACTCTGGAACTCTCTCCCCCTGAGCCTGAGATCAGTGGACTCAGTGGTCTCCTTCAAAAAGCAGCTGAAGATTCACTTGTTCAAGCTGGCTTTTGTATGACCTTCTTCACCACTCTCTCTTTATTCTGCCCTCCCCACCTATTCCACCTTCCTCAGGATCCACTGATTTCCCTCTTATCTATTCACTCTCTCTTTACATTTTTAATCACAATTGTCAATTTTTTGCTCATTTTAAATATATTTTTAATAATTTTCTAAATTCTTTTTTTATATTTTTACATTTTCTGTTTTGTGAAGCGCCTCGTGATTTTATCTTGCGAGGCACTATAGAAAAGATCTTTTCTTCCTCTTCTTCAGATACTTCAAGATTTGAATCCGAAACAGACCACGGATGAGGTAAAGTGTCTTGAAATAACTTAAAAAGACCAAAAATTCTAACATTTTGAATATTTTACATATATTCTGAAAGATAAGCTCATTAGAAATCTGAATGTCCTGCTTCTAAAAACTTGAAGAACTTATTTCTAGTCATCAGCAAGATGAAGAAAAATGCAGCAATGGCCTGTATTTGATATAGGGCCTTCTAGAGTCTTGGAACTCCCTAAGGTGCTGTACAACACAATCAGTCATTCACCCATTCACACACACATTCACACCCGGGTGATGGTGAGCTACTATGTAGCTGCAGCTGCCCTGGGGTGCACTGACACAGGTGAGGTTGCTGTACACAGATGCCACCGGTCCATTCGACCACCACCAGCAGGCAAGGGTTGAGAATCTTGCCCAAGGACACGACAGCGACAGACAGAGCAGGACTCAAACCTGCAACCGTCCAATTACTTAACTCCTGTGCCACAGTCGCAGACTTAAAACACACAAAATGTATGATATAGCCTGAAATTTAAAAAGCTGATGCATAAACTCACACTTTTTGGGAAGCCATTGCCAAAAAAGAGGTTTCCGTTTGATTCATGCGAAGGACCTGTTGAGAGAGGTTAAAGGTTATTAGTTATCAGTGCCTGCAGTGAACACACCTCTTTATAACAGGTGTGTTTAAACAAACAATGTTTCTCTGGCATTTGGTTTATGCTTTAAGGTTTTAATTGATATCAGGATATTCGATTTAAGAACAAAACAGCAAACTGAAAAGTAAAAACTGTGGTTAAGAAGACCCAAGTGGATTATTAATGCACTCTAAATTATTAACCCTTTAAAGACAAAACATTTAATACTTGAAATTTTCTTAGACCTCCATTTTTCAAGATGTTCCTCAAGCTTCTCCTCCACTGGTTTTGGTTATCTGCCACCGTGTGGGAGATATAAGTACTGCAGGAGATGAAGTGCCAATTTAATTTTGTTATGATGGCTGTGATATGGTATATTTAATTAACACCGTTTTCAATAATTAGATATGTTTTATTATTGTGTATAAATGGATAAAGATAGGATATTATTTGTGTTTTTGTTGTAGTACAACCAAAATATTAGATTTTCATTCATTTTCATATAGAACTTTATTTCGACTTTATAAAGTAAGTAGGGGATGAAATCAAATTATATGCACAGAAAATGTTTTCTAACATGATTTTGAGATCGTTAAGCCTACTTCCGTTCTCAGTTTCACTACATTTTAATTAACATGATTTTATATTTTAATGTCTAGTCTCTATCAGACCTAATCATTACTAGACACTACCAGACAGCATTCTGGTAAAAGATTGTAGAACCCCTAACCTAAGGTAAATAAATAAATAAATAAATAAATAAATAAATATCTGTTTTTGACTGGAGGGACTGAAAATCCACATACGTCGCCACTTTTTATGAGGCCCGTTAATGATCCTCCTGATGTTCTGCTTGCTTGGTTTGTTTTCTGAGGTTTGTTCCGCTCTAATGTGAATTTAAATGCTTTAAAGTTTCTAAATCGTTCCGGAACAGTGTTGTTTTGGCTGAGGAGTGTCTTACTTGTTGGAGACAGAGAAGTGGATCCGCTCATGGTGCTGGGGTGTCTCAACTTGGTCCTCCTGACAGACTGCACTTGCTCCCGCACGCGCTCCTGTCCCGTCCGGTGCTGGTTCACGGAAGGCAGAGCCAGAGAAGTGTTGTCCTTGTTCCCGATGGAGATCCCCATCATCAGCGGATCCAGGCCGGACATGTCGGGTAGAGATCCGCGCGGCGGAACAATTTCTGAGAGGTGAAAGCTGTCGGTAAGAGAACAAAAGCTCACCTTGCCCTGCCTAGTGAGAGATCAGACCGCGCCCTCTCTGCTGTGCTGTCCACACACACACACACACACACACACACACACACACACACACACACACACACACACACACACACACACACACACACACACACACACACACACACACACACACAAGAATGAAGTAGTTATTTTGTGTTTTCAAACAATCGGTTTCACGTTCACAAAATAATAAAAACAGGGTTGGTCTGCAGCCTTGTCAGCATGGGTCAGTTCCTTTAGGTGTTTTCCATAAAAAATATTTAAAATAAACATTATTATAGAGCAGGATTGCCCAATCCTGGTCTTAGGGGGGCAGTATGCAGAGGTTTCTATGCTCCAATGATCAGTGGACTCCTTTAAAAAGCAGCTGAAAACTCACCTGTTCAAGCTGGTTTTGGTGTGACCTTCATCACCCTCTCCTTGTTCTGCTCTACCTATTCCACCTTCCTCAGGATCTACTGGTTTCCCCCTTTCCTATTCACTCTCTCTCTTTCTTTACATTTTTAATCACAATTGTCTACTTTTTTGTTCATTTTATATATTTTTAATCATTTTCTAAATTCTTTTTTATATTTTTACATTTTTTGTTTTTGTGAAGCGCCTCGTGATTTTTATCTTGAGAGGCGCTATAGAAAAAAATCTCTTCTTCTTCTTCTTCTTCTTCTTCTTCTTCTTCTTCTTCTTCTTCTTCTTCTTCTTCTTCTTCTCCAAACACTTGATTTGCAAGTTGAATCACCTGCAGCAGCTCATGAATTTCTGCAGAAGCCTTAATCACCTTCTGATTGAAATCAGGTGCACTGAAGCGGAGTTAAAACTAAAACCTGCCGGCCCTCCAGGACCAGGATTGGGCACCCCTGTTATAGAGGAATAAACACCAAGTGGGCCTGGATTTTAAAAAAATACATTAATTATTAATATATGTGTATTTGGCTGGTATTAGAGTAATTAAGGGTTAAACTACAGCAATGATGGCGACCTACATCAAATGTAGCAGTTTCTAAGTAGGAGTCTCGCAGTCCAGTATAAGACCTCAGCAGTCTGCAGCCCAGGTCCTCGGGGTGCATGTTGAGGTCACCACCTAGAATGACCACATCTGCTCCGGCTGAAGTGTGACTAAGTGAACAAAAGAGCATCAAGATGAAACTTTTCATTCATTTCTGTTCAAAACTGAGACTCCAAATAGCAACAGATGGAGACAATCATGCAAAAATATGAAAACACACAGTAGCTCACAGAGGATATGTGCTGTAGCAAAGATACACTACCGGATAGTGATGGGAATTCCGGATGTTTTTAGAGAGCCGGTTCTTTTGGCTCCCAAGTGGCTCCTCAGATTTTCTGTTGCGTAAAGTATATTTATCACCAAAGATAATGCAAAAATATGTAAGATGATTTACTAATGCACACAAATGCAATATATCAAATATTTATAATTTATATGGACTTATTAACTGAACACCATTATGGAAGTTTGGCAGCCAAAACATGTATAGAAATAATAAATGTCTTCTTCATACATTCTCCTGCAATGCCCTGGTCCTGTAGAATGAGCCCTGGCATTTTTACTGTGATTGTCTGTTTTTCTGTAAAATCACAGAAAAAGAGAGATGCTCGGGTCGAGCAGGCTGCTTCATGCACGTTCACGCTCAGGCATAGCCCGTAGCATTTGCTATCAGTAGCTTTAGCTGCAGAGAGTGAGGTAGTGCCAACTCAGCGACTTTGTCGCTATTCCTAACGCCTAGTGATGAACCTAGCTACATTTCTGAGGACCCTTAGCTACTTTCTTCTAGATATTTCCTGCAAATTAGCAACAAAATAGCCATTTTCGCTCCGAACCGTTCTTTGAACGTTGTTTCAGCTGTCATTAAGGATATAAATGTTACAGATACAAAATATGTCACTGGCACTTTAGCTCACCTAGTGAGACGTCGGACTCTCGTTCAGAAGACCCGGGTACGATTCTGGATATGAACATAGTTCATTTAGAGTTTATTTTTTACATTAATAGTATAGTTTTTTACAGTAAGATGCCCAAATTTCTATTTGAGACTCGCCGAACGGCATTGAATTCACAGATAAAAAAAGATGTGGGTTCAACTTTCATTTTGGAACAATTTTTCAAGCAAGGGAAGGGAATGATCTGAGCATGCAGGACTGACCCATCATAAACCTTTGTCGGCTGTGCTGAAGAGAAAGGTACACAACCAAATTATTTAGCTGCGTGTTCTCCTGTCCTCTGTCCTCCGGGCCACACACACACACACACACACACACACACACACACACACGCACACACACACACACGGGACTGTCTCAGCTGTTATTTTCGTTAAGGAGTGTGCACGTACAGCATGCGCGCCTCGTGCACGAGCCTACTATTGAAGCTGCCATTACACTTTTGGCCTGAGGAGGCAATCGCGAGCATAAACATTCTAAACTCCGTAAAGTCTCTTTGAGAAATCTCCACTTTCCAACTGCTGTCGCTCATTTTCTCACCGTCTTTGTCGCACTCTCCTCTCTCTCACTCGCCTTTTTCCTCCTTCTCAATCAATCAATCAACTTTATTTATATAGCACTTAATCCTACGATACATGGGGGTGGGGGGGTGGGTGGGGGGGCGGTTGACGGCTCCCAAAGAGAGCCGGCTCCCGTCGTTCACTTCATAGAGCCAGCTTTTAGAGCTGGTTCGTTCGGGACCGACACATCAATACTACGGGATGAACTGCAGCTCCCAGACCTGGACCACTCTGTGAGCTAGATAAGTGTCCTTCTCTCTGCTGTACTCTGCATGCAGCTAGACTCAGCAACATAAAACTCATAAGTCAGAGATATAAATACAACACAAAACAAGTTATTTAGTAGGGCTTACATGTGTAACATAGATGTTTGCAGTCAGCCCACCAAGGTTTACAACCGCCATCCCAACAGCTTTGCCTCCAAACCAGTCCCCATGGTGTGCCTCTAAACATCAGAGGAAATCTGGGTTAACATGGAGGAAACAGGAAATTGTTGAAAAATAATCACCCCGACCACATTAATTGTAACACATTGCGGAGTTAGCTAAATCAAGTAAGGATTCCCATCAGAACATCTAGTGAACATCTAGAATAGTGAAGCGTTCAACATAGACAATATTGATCACAATTTGGGCATGATTTTCCGAGCTGATGACGTACGCCTTGCCATTGAGGAAATGTCATCAAACAAAGCATGTGGCCTAGATCAGTTATCAGCAGAGCATACGTAGTATGCTAGTGAAAGAGTTCATGTATTACTTTCAATATGCGTTGCTGGTTGTTTGAAGCATGGCATCTTACCTGATCACATGCTGTCAGTACTTTTAGTCCCTGTACTAAAAAACAAACAAACAGGAAAAACATCCTGTATTGCAGCTACAGGCCGGTTGCCCTGGCTAACGTGTTGTCCAAAGTGTTTGGGCATATTCTGCTGGAAAGACTCGATGATTTTATTGCAACAACAGATAATCAGTTTGGTTTTAGAAGTGAGCTTAGTACTGATCTTTGTAGAGATGTCCTCAAGGAAACTGTGAATAAGTATAAGATTCAGAGTACATCTGTTTTTATGTGTTTTTTAGACGCCTCCAAAGCCTTTGACTGAGTCAACCACACTAAACTCTATCTTAAACTACAGAGTGGAGGGGTCCCTGCATATTTAATCAGGATACTACATTTTTGGTATTCACACCAATCAATACAGTGACAGGACGCTCACCCTGTCACAGACGCATAGCATTCTGTCTCATTCCATAATCTGCGCTTCGGGCTGTGTGTGTGTGTGTGTGTGTGTGTGTGTGGGGGGGGGGGGGGGGGGGGGGGGGGTCTTGTTCTGTGTGCGCATGAAGCGGTACGAGTGACAATACTGCTGGAATTCATAGTTGTATCGCGTCATACCCCTGTCAAAACCCGTGCACGCGCATTGGGTCCACAGCGCGCGTGTGAACGGGACTCGCGAGCGAAAATATACATGGCAGCGCGCGTGTGAACGGGACTCGCGAGCGGAAATATACATGGCGAGAGGTCATTTGTGCACTGAGAGGGAGCAAACTGTGTCTGTGAGCGCACAAGGATGTGCACAAGTGACAAACCTGCGTGCGCGCGTTGTCAACGAGCACACGGCAGAGGAAAACGTGCGCGCGCGGCAGCCTCTGTGCGCGCTCGGCAGCCTCTCTGCGCGCTCGGTTTCTGACTCCTGCTCGCTCGGCTGTAAGGGTTTTGGCACTCTGGAGGCGTGGCCTGTGGCAGATCTTCTCTGTCCTCTGATTGGTTAGTGTACCCCGCACTTTACCCTCTACCTATCTATATAAAAAAGTCTGCTAGTCAAGTAGTCGCTGGCATAGCTCAGTTGGAAGAGCGGGTGACTCTCGCCCCGGAGGATCCAGGTTTGAGGCCGGGCAAGGAAAATGCAGTAGATGTCATGTTAATTTTTCTTAATTTCAGGTATTTTACAGTTGTGACCGTTCAACTGTCATTAAACGTCCGAATGTTTGCTGGGCAGTGTTTTAAAAAGTGCACATAAGCTAGATGGTTTTAACCATATAAAATTACATTTTTTGTGATACTGGAAAAATACATACTGAAATAAAACTACTGATTGAAAACTTTATGACTGTGGTTGTACAATATATGACTCACTAATACACTGCAAACTCCCTTAGAGTGGGGCTTCCAGAGAGAGAGAGAGAGAGAGAGAGAGAGAGAGAGAGAGAGAGAGAGAGAGAGAGAGAGAGAGAGAGAGAGAGAGAGAGAGAGAGACAGAGAGAGAAAAGTTCTTGCCTCATTAATGAATTGTTTATTTTTTTCAGTATTTAATTGACAAATTATCCTTTCAAATAATTAATTGATGAGTTACATAATTGTCCATTTAGAATTGTTGAATGGACTGAGTCAAGTTTGGTGCACTTTATATATTTCAAAACATGTTTTTTTTTTATTTTAATGATGCATATAAATAATTTAAATGTTAATTTAATGAAATATTTCTATTTTTTCATTACCTCACCCTTGTTTTGACAAAAACGGGACCTTGCTGGATAATATCATGGAGAAACTATTTGTTCACAGTACATGGCTCAGTGAGGATCTGTGTAAAGGAGGAGATACTCAGAAATCTGTCTGCAGATTGTTACAACCCAGACTGGAAGTGGTGGGCTGTAATAAGAAAGGAGACCAAACAGAGGAGTCCGAATGTTTGCTGGGCAGTGTTTTAAAAAGTGCACATAAGCTAGATGGTTTTAACCAGGTAAAAATAGACTTGTGGGTGTAGGTATGTTTAAGTTTAAAAAGTTCTTGCCTCATTAATGTATTGTTTATTTTTTTCAGCATTTAATTGACAAATTATCCTTTCAAATAATTAATTGATGAGTTACATAATTGTCCATTTGGAATTGTTGAATGGACTGAGTCAAGTCGTGTGCACTTTATATATTTCAAAACATGTTTTTTTTAAATTATGCATATAAATAATTTTAATGTTAATTTATTGAAATATTTCTATTTTTTCATTACCTCACCCTTGTTTTGACAAAAACAAGACCTTGCTGGATAATATCACGGAGAAACTATTTGTTCACAGTACTTGGCTCAGTGAGGATCTATATACCAAAGGAGGAGATACTCAGAAATCTGTCTGCAGATTGTTACAACCCAGACTGGAAGTGGTGAGCTGTAATAAGAAAGGAGACCAAACAGAGGAGTGGGGGGTTCAACAACTGATTTATTTAACAAAAGTAAGGATTTACTAAAGCAAGTTAGTGAACAGAAAATGGCCATCTCAAGGTTTTACTCGGATGTCCCTCAGCAGGGTGCAGCACTGTTGAAGGTCATCTGAATGAAAGCTTGATATGCAGTTTCTTTATGAAAGTGTGTAAATATACAGTGTGGTTGCCGTACATATGTTGAGGTTCTCAGACATCAGGCTTCTTTGCCCAGGCCTTCACTAGTGGGCTATTTTAAAAGTTGGTAAGGAGAAAAACCACAGCATATAGCTGATTGTTTACAAATGCAAGGAGGGGAATAACAATCAAAATGCTTGTGTTCTTGGACCAGATGAATGGAGCGCTCCACATGCACTCAGAGATGTTATGGCTTCTGTTTCTATAACTTTACATGCAGACATTTGAGGTTTGCCAGAAAGGAAAGCTGGCCTGTACACTTTGCAGGGCACAATGTCATCAATGAAGAAACCCCTGTCTACCAAGATGACCATCTCTAGTTGTAGCATTTTCATCACACCAGATTCCCAGGTTGGTCGCTGATAGTTCCAGCATACAGTGCTGAGACAAAGGTCACTGGCCTATGTGGCACAATCCAAATGAGCCTCTTCAGAGTGCAGTTGAACTTGAGGAAAATATATGACTCTGGAAGAGAGGGGAATATGGCCATTGACACCTCAGATCAGTGCAGTCAAGAATTACTGGTGTTTGGGTAGTCCTGAACGTGTTGTGATGCCCCCACCGTCTCATTGGGTTTTCATTTGTGTTTAATTGTGTTTTTCTTCTGTTGTAGGCAGCTGGTTAAGCAGCCTTGGAGGCACCTGGGCTCAGGGTGTGGTGCTGCCTACAAAGCCTACTGTTTTTCTGCTTTCACTGGGTCTCTCCTGTGTGGTGGAGAGTCCTCACTGGCCATTTTCTGTTCACTAACTTGCTTTAGTAAATCCTTACTTTTGTTAAATAAATCAGTTGTTGAACCCCCACTCCTCTGTTTGGTCTCCTTTCTTATTACAGCCCACCACTTCCAGTCTGGGTTGTAACAATCTGCAGACAGATTTCTGAGTATCTCCTCCTTTACACAGATCCTCACTGAGCCATGTACTGTGAACAAATAGTTTCTCCATGATATTATCCAGCAAGGTCCCGTTTTTGTCAAAACAAGGGTGAGGTAATGAAAAAATAGAAATATTTCATTAAATTAACATTTAAATTATTTATATGCATCATTAAAATAAAAAAAAAACATGTTTTGAAATATATAAAGTGCACCAAACTTGACTCAGTCCATTCAACAATTCTAAATGGACAATTATGTAACTCATCAATTAATTATTTGAAAGGATAATTTGTCAATTAAATACTGAAAAAAATAAACAATTCATTAATGAGGCAAGAACTTTTCTCTCTCTCTCTCTCTCTCTCTCTCTCTCTCTCTCTCTGGAAGCCCCACTCTAAGGGAGTTTGCAGTGTATTAGTGAGTCATATATTGTACAACCACAGTCATAAAGTTTTCAATCAGTAGTTTTATTTCAGTATGTATTTTTCCAGTATCACAAAAAATGTAATTTTCTATGGTTAAAACCATCTAGCTTATGTGCACTTTTTAAAACACTGCCCAGCAAACATTCGGACGTTTAATGACAGTTGAACGGTCACAACTGTAAAATACCTGAAACTAAGAAAAATTAACATGACATCTACTGCAATTTCCTTGCCCGGCCTCGAACCCGGATCCTCCGGGGTGAGAGTAACCCGCTCTCCCAACTGAGCTATGCCAGCAACTGCTTGAATAGCAGACTTTTTTGTATAGATAGGTAGAGGGTAAAGTGTGGGGTACACTAACCAATCAGAGGACAGAGAAGATCTGCCACAGGCCACGCCTCCAGAGTGCCAAAACCCTTACAGCCGAGCGAGCAGGAGTCAGAAACCGAGCGCGCAGAGAGGCTGCCGAGCGCGCACAGAGGCTGCCGCGCGCGCACGTTTTCCTCTGCCGTGTGCTCGTTGACAACGCGCGCACGCAGGTTTGTCACTTGTGCACATCCTTGTGCGCTCACAGACACAGTTTGCTCCCTCTCAGTGCACAAATGACCTCTCGCCATGTATATTTCCGCTCGCGAGTCCCGTTCACACGCGCGCTGTGGACCCAATGCGCGTGCACGGGTTGTGGCACGCTTTAAACGCCATATAGTTGCATCCTTCTCTGCAGCAGCACTGTAGGTGCTCTCCATGTCCAAGATGTGCATCAGCCAGGTCCTTAGTCAACTTTGATTCATCCACATTAAGCTTGTAATGTGATGGAAGTGGTTAATTTTACTGAATGATCAATAAGATGTAATATTCCATATAAATATGAATTATTAGTCTTTAATAAATACTTGATTTAATAGGTTCTTTGGAGTGCCAGGGAAACACACACTTCACAATAATTCAGACAGAGTCAAGAACATAGTTTATAAAAATGAATTTAATACTATATTTCTACACTAATGATGACACCGAATGATGGTTGAAACAAGACAACTGAGACAATGAATGAAATGATGGAATAAGCTTAGATGTTATGCAGCAAAACCTGATTTAAGTAGAAACTTGTGATGTCTGGGTTGTAAAATCAGCCTGACTGCATGATTTAACAAACTATCAGTTAATGAGAAAAACCGCCCGACACCATTGTGCCGAGTCTACAAACCCGTGTTGAAGGTCCTCGGGTGATCCAGGAGGTCAGAGGTCAGTACGGATAGACTGCAGGTAGCGTTGCCCTCTAAGGTTTTGGAGCCGTAGCTCTGCCCCAAATCTGGACCCGTCTAGTCTGAGATCTACCTTCAGTAACATTGGCTCCCACATTACGTAAGCTCCATGTTAGAAATGATGTTGAAATATTAAACTTTCTGAACAAGAATGATCTAATTTTATGGTTTCTAAGCAAGTCGATGCCCGTATGGGAAAATACAGAATCAGATACAACAAAGCATCAAATAGGAAGAAAATTTAGATGAAAGTTCATACGTACTAACAGTTTATGCTACACACTTACGTTTATTACACACCAAACTTTCTCTTGTCATCATCACATAGGGTGTAGAAATGTCTCACATTCCATTTGTGTCGCTCACCGTTTTGCTTTTAACATTTATTGTCAAAAATATTTTGTATGTATTTATTTGGCTCAACTTCAAAGTTGCGGCATTTATTCATGCATTTTTTTAAATTGAAATTGCTTTTCAATTCATTAATACGGTTTAAGACTCCACCAATGTGTGAACACAAATTGAGTAGCTGTCCACTGTAGTGACCATTATGCATTAAAGGCTAAATATTTTATTCATTTATTTTTTGTAAAATCAATCCCTTAAATGCAACACACCCATGTGTGCTGCTGCATGTGGCAGCTGGTAACCTCGGCTCAACTCTACCACCACCGTTGGTTGATAGCTATTCTGAAGACGGCTTGGTGATTCATTAACACGGGTTCATCTGCCAGTTGTGACCGGCTGCCTTCTAGTGGTGAGCATGTGAATCACATCTTGATTAGAAAGCTTGACAGAAAACCATAAGGTGTGCATATAAAGTCTTTATTATTGCTTTTTTGATTGTTTGCATCACGGCTTTCATTTGGAATGAACAAACAAAAATAGTCATTAACCGTGAGAACGACTAAAATAGTTTCACATCAGCGTTCTACAGAAAAACTGACCATTCAGTCATCTGGTAGCAGAGAACAGGAGTGTTTGATCAACTCTCAATACATATTTAACAAAATTAGATCCTTAAGTTATTTAAATAAAACAATTATCAAGCTTTTAAATCCAACATTTTTAAAACCGCTTTAAGACTCAGGGAGCAGGAGTGTAAGTCGTCGTTGATGGTTAACAAAGAGAACAAAATGTGACAAGCAGATAATTGATCCTTTGTCCCTTTTCTTAAAACACAACACTGAAAGGTTTATGCCAGTGAAATAGGAGAAAAACTGAATGTAAACCAACTTCAGTGCAGGACGATTTTCTCAGAGCATTTAAACGGGTGAAAACAGTCGGATACAGAAAAAGACTGGACCCACAACGCCGGTGTGACGGCTTCTCTCAGTCATAAATAAGAAGCGTGAAATGAAGAACAGAAACCAACTGGTCCCAGATGAACTACTGGTGGGTGGAATGCAGGTCAGACCTGAGGCTTAGGGACACAAACGGCCATATTTAAGACTTTCAGCATATAAACAACGTAACTGTTTTAGGAGGCGTGTGCATGTACTACAGATCTTTGAGTGAAATCAGGGTTTAATAAATAAAAGCCACAGCTGACTATAAAAATATAAAAATGTCAGTAATGTTATTATAGTTATTTTTGCAGCAGAAATCTAAATCTCTAAAGCTTATTACTTAAAGAGGAGGAGACTAAAGGGTCTCTCTCAACGCTGACTTCAAAGCCTTTTTCTATAAGCCTACTTTGGAATTATTCCTCTGGATCCAAGGCACTGGGTCCTTCCCCCTCTGAAGGCCTCTGCAGGGCATGGTGAGGCCGAGCCACAGGAAAACCTCTCAGCTTCTCCTGCAGACTTGCAACAGCCAGCCTCATCTGGTCCTCAGCACCCTGGAGAGATTTCAACTCCATAGTATAAAAGACGTACAGCAGAGAGGTGGTCAGCAGGATGGAGAAGCACAGAGCAGCCAGCAGATAGAAGGATGCACATGGGAAAGGCTGTTCTGCTCCCAGAGCCAAGCAGGGAACAGCTGCAATGGCCAACTCCAGGAAGAGCAGGGCCAACCCCATCACTCCGGTTCGTGCAGTGGTGTAGCGCATCCGCTCAGCGCAGTGCAAGCCCACTTTGACTTCAGTACGGGCCTCGGTCACAATGTCGACCAACTCAGCCAGCTTCCCTGGGAGGGTGAGAAGGGACCAAGACAAAAAACAAACAATAGGTATCAAAAGTAACGTCGATTTTCCTCATTATCTTGCCGTTGTGGCCGTTAGAATAACCTGCAGGAGAGTCCCGAGTCTTTGACAGCTCATCACTTCCAGTCTCCGCTGGAATATTGAACTTCAGTCGCAGCTGAGCAGTGAGCGCCTCGTGGTCGGAGTACGGAAATGGGTGGTCAGGAACGGAGCCTTTGGTTGTGGACATGAAATCGCAGTAAATGTGGGTTTTAGAGGTGCCCTAGAACGGGAAGATAGTCTTTTTAAAGCTTACACAACTGTTTGGAAATCTTGGAATATACATGAAAAACGAAGGAAGTGGGACAGTGCTTAGCTTTCACAAACCTTAAACAGGATGTAGTCGATTCGAATGCCCGTCTCAAAGGGGATGAGCTCCTTCTTATTGATGAAAGTGTTGTCTGCTATGAGAGTTATGCCATTTTCACAGCCCTGCAGAAGAATCCACATTAAGTTACATGGAAATAACCAGTAAGACAGGTTGTGTATCGTGTTTCCTGAACTAATCCTATTTAGTTACCGCAAATCCTCTAATACAGGCCGGTATTCAATTAAAGGCCGGGTCTCCAATTATGGCCGGTGTCTGAGTCAGCGGAGGTAAATAATAGCCAGTCTCTTATTGTGGCCGGATGGAATGTGGTAACAAGCAAGTACGAGCGTCCCAGCGGCAGGGTTATAGTCCCCAAATCAACCAGCAGGAGGCAGTAGAAGTTCACGCAGACCTTTTTTAGACCTTTTCTTCAATGCTTTGTAACGCTACAGACACGATCCTCTATCACGCTCCTACCACACAGAGTCACGGTGTCAGTTAACCATGCTAATTCAACCCGCTCCACAGAACACACATCACCTTCCCTGTGGCTTACATAACACTCACACAACACGCAAATCAGCACATAGGAACTAGCAGAACGATAGGAAACACATATAACACAATACCCAGAATGCACCTGGCTTACAACCCCAGCCAGGTCATTACACTATCAAGTTCAAAGAGAACGTGCTGATTATGCTGCAGAACACTCTGGGGAGCAGCAGTAGGGGGTGTATGAACTACAGCAATCCCTCGTTTATCGCGGTAGATGCGTTCCAGACCTGGCCGCGATAGGTGAAAATCCGCGAAGTAGGGACTCCCAGCATGCCCCTCGCGGGGATTCCCTTCACGTCGCACCTACGTCACAAACTGCGGCTATAAATGGAAGTCGCCTTTCCAGCTCACCACTCAGTCATCGTTTCTTCAGATTCACGATCAGAGTTTCCAACCTACCGATCAATCCAACGAACTATCAGCTCATAGTAAGTTATCTTACTTACTTCTGGAAAGCCCGGCATTTCCGTGTCACTTCGTTGACGCTCGAACGCTCGGGGGTTTCCTAGAGCACCGACGCTATCACTTCCGCGTCTGTGAAACCACGCTCCCTATTGAATTATCGTATGATCACATTCTCTTTTTGGGGGTAAAACTCAAGTGCCAGACCGTAGGTACTGACACGCGATCGTTCATGTCGGTTCATTTCCTTTAATGTTTTCTGTCTTTTATTTGCGCCTGATGTGTATCGCTGCTGTGGAGCGGGGCGCATCACCTTGTCCTCCGACCCACAGATCACAGCAGGGAGCGCTCAGCTGTTTTCGCGGTCGGTAGATCTGCCTCCTGAGCACGGCCACAGTAACAATCAGGTGTCGCCACCTCAAAAACTAATTTAACATGCGATCGTTCATGTCAGTTCATTTCCTTTAATGTTTTCTGTCTTTTATTTGCGCCTGATGCGTTTCGCTGCATGCTGTGGAGCGGGACGCAGCGCGCATCACCTTGTCCTCTGACGCACTGATCACTGATACGGCCGCCAAACAGCAAGCGCTCCGCTGTTTTTGCGGTCGGTAGATCTTTTAGAACTGCAGTTCAAAGGTAACTCATGAGGTGAATATATATGAACCCAGGCAGCAGTTTTTCTTTAGGATTGAGAGGAGATGCAGGAAGATAATAAACAGAGACAGGACAGAAAAATAGTCAAATAAAAACAAGTTAGTATTTGTACCTGCTGTTGCAACAAACAGACACCATTGAAGGTAATCAGAAGTGAGGAACAGAAAATGAAATAATTATTTTAATGTTTAGAGCAGCAGGAACTCCGAGAGGCTGCAGGTGCATCAGTGAGTTTGCGGCTGCTGCGCAGGGGGAGGGGGGAGAGGGCTGATGCAGGGACTACCGTTGTTAAAAGAAATGTGTTTAACTTTGAAAATGTGGGCACAATTTTAATTGTCAAAAACTCCAGCGAACCATTAGTTCATTTTGCTCAAATAGAAATAGAGGCCTGCCTCTAATACTGGCCCTCCTTCCAATAAAGGCCTGGAGCTTGATGAGCTTGAGTCAAATACAGGCCCGGGCCTGTATTAGAGGATTTACGGTAAGCTGGTATATTGCTGACTCAGTCACTGTTTATGATAGTTAGACCAGCTGTTTAAGTTCAAATCAACTTTTATCTTTTGCGCGTTGGAGCTGAGTGATTAGAATCAGGTGTGTCTGCTCCATTCAATTGCACTTTCCCGGCCTGGGGTGCAAGTGCGTGGGGTGTCCCGATTCTCAAGTGTGGAAGTGGACCATGCCTCTTTTGTAAACTTGACTCACACTTCCTTCCACTGTCCGCATTATGTGATTATTTGCGCACTTACGGAAAAGCCACGCTGAAGTAGTGGGATTCACAAGATTTGAACTCCGTCAGTGATTGAGCCATTCCAATTCAATTCAAAGATACGTTATTAATCCCAGAGGGAAAATAGAGTATGTAAAGAGGGAAGGCGTTCCATAAAAAAGGAGTGCAAGGTAAAATGTGGGTGAGTAATTCAAAGTTAAACTACAGCAATGTTGGCGACCTACATCAAATTTAGCAGTTTCTAAGTAGGAGTCTCGCAGTCCAGTATAAGACCTCAGCAGTCTGCAGCCCAGGTCCTCGGGGTGCATGTTGAGGTCACCGCCTAGAATGACCACATCTGCTCCGGCTGAAGTGTGACTAAGTGAACAAAAGAGCATCAAGATGAAACTTTTCATTCATTTCTGTTCAAAACTGAGACTCCAAATAGCAACAGATGGAGACAAACACACAGTAGCTCACAGAGGATGTGCTGTAGCAAAGATACACTACCGGATGAACTCCTGCAGCTCCCAGGCCTGGACCACTCTGTGAGCTAGATAAGTGTCCTTCTCTCTGCTGTACTCTGCATGCAGCTAGACTCAGCAACACAAAACTCATGAATCAGAGATATAAATACAACACAAAACAAGTGATTTAGTAGGGCTTACATGTGTAACATAGATGTTTGCAGTCAGCCCACCAAGGTTTACAACCGCCATCCCAACAGCTTTACCTCCAAACCAGTCCCCATGGTGTGCCTAATCAGAGGAAATCTGGGTTAACATGGAGGAAACAGGAAATTGTTCACATAGAAAACATACGTGTTTCATCTAGATTTTAATGTCAAACCCGTAATGGTCTTTTCCAAATCATTCCAACTTGAGAGGAGATGACGAATAGATGAATTAAGTAAAGATTTGCTTTAAAACTCTGATTTTTATCATCAGCCTTCCTAAAAATGTCCATTTTATACCAACAGTGTTCAGCTAGACCAGGGGTCGGGATCCTTTTACCATCAAAGAGCCATTCTTACCGGTTTCCCACAGAAAAGAAAACACTGGGAGCCACAGCAGCCGCAGCATTATGGGTCGGGCCCATCCCACCCTAAGACAGCTGAGAGCTGCTTTAACCGATCACAACAGGTGACAGCAACCAATACAATTCGCTTTATCTTACAACAGAAGATAATTAATAAAACAATTTGTATAAAATTGATCCAGAAGTTGTAGCCCGTCTCTGCCTACAATATTTTGATATTTTTCACCCTGTTAGTGATTTCAATAATAGTTGAGCAGCTGCCACTTTTTGAAGCATCACACGTGTTTCCTTATAAACATGTTTAAACTGTTCAACAAGATTAGGCTCTGTCTCATTGGATTGTTGTAATGGAACAGAACAAAACGTTACATTAAACAATGTTGAAAAGAAAAGGATCAGATCTATTTGTTTTTTCCCCTCATTTACAGTGATGGAGATAACGGCGCAGTGCGCATGGCTCTGGTGTTAATCAATTTTAAAGAGACTTTACGGAGTTTTGAATTGTTATGCTCGCGATTGCCCCCTCAGGCCAAAAGCGTAACGGCAGCTTCAATAGTAGGCTCGTGCACGAGGCGCGCATGCTGTACGTGCACACTCCTTAACGAAAATAACAGCTGAGATAGTCCCGTGTGTGTGTGTGTGTGTGTGTGTGTGTGTGTGTGTGTGGCCCGGAGGACAGAGGACAGGAGAACGTGCAGCTAATTAATTAAATCATTTGGTTGTGTACCTTTCTCTTCAGCACAGCAGACAAAGGTTTATGATGGGTCAGTCCTGCATGCTCAGATCATTCCCTTCCCTTGCTTGAAAAATTGTTCCAAAATGAAAGTTGAACCCACATCTTTTTTATCTGTGAATTCAATGCCGTTCGGCGAGTCTCAAATAAAAATTTGGACATCTTATTGTAAAAAAATATACCATTAATGTAAAAAATAAATTCTAAATAAACTATGTTCATATCCAGAATCGAACGCGGGTCTTCTAAACGAGAGTCCGACGTCTCACTAGGTGAGCTAAAGTGCCAGTGACATATTTTGTATCTGTAACATTTATATGCTAGATGACAGCTGAAACAACGTTCAAAGAACGGTTCGGAGCGAAAATGGCTATTTTGTTGCTAATTTGCAGGAAATATCTAGAAGAAAGTAGCTAAGGGTCCTCAGAAATGTAGCTAGGTTCATCACTAGGCGTTAGGAATAGCGACAAAGTCGCCGAGTTGGCACTACCTCACTCTCTGCTGCTAAAGCTACTGATAGCAAATGCTACGGGCTACGCCTGAGCGTGAACGCGCATGACGCAGCCTGCTCGACCCGAGCAGCTCTCTTTTTCTGTGATTTTACAGAAAAACAGGCAATCACAGTAAAAATGCCAGGGCTCATTCTACAGGACCAGGGCATCGCAGGAGAATGTATGAAGAAGACATTTATTATTTCTATACATGTTTTGGCTGTCAAACTTCCATAATGCCTCTTTAATTTTTTCTCTTTGCAACAATCTTCACAAGAAAGCAAAACAGATGGCAGAGTTTCGCATTGACCAGATATTTCCAGTATTTGATCGTTTATTCTGACACAGAAAGAATGGAAACGATTACCCCGACCACTTTGATTGTAACGCACATCGCGGAGTTAGCTAAATCAAGTAAGGATACCCATCAGATCATCTGAGCATTTTACTGGACACCGCTGAGCACAGCTCACTGTCAGCGCGCGCATAAGGTTGACATTGAGCTAAAGATGTGGAGAGGGGCTATAGCACGTCGGTCACAGGTAGCAGCAGAATCAGAGCGCATGCAGGAAGATTCCTCTCACTGAAGCGAGTGTCTTCCAAACCTTGTTTCTCAGAGAGATTTGTCACTTAGAAAATGTTCCCCGATTATGAAACTTTGGCTCTACAGAGCTTGTTCCTGTCTCCACTGTGGCAACGCATCCATGATCCTGTCCAGAATCTCACATCCTCTTCAGCTCAGAAAGCACCTATAGACATCTGATTACGCACAAGTAGGTGACCTGTAAACCCGGTGGGACCTGTTCAGGTTTACACAGACAAGCTTTACATTCAGAATTGGCATACTGACAAAAAAATGTATGCAGTAAAATATAACACATTTTAATTCAATATTCATTCATTCATTCATTCATTATTTCACAAGCATTGAGAGCCGCATCAGATGGATGAAAGAGCCGCACGCGGCTCGCCGACCCCTGAGCTAGAACCACATGATTTATTCCTACGGGTGGGTTTGTTTGGTTTTTATTTTAGAGTAAAACAAATCTGCTGGTGAAAGATTTGAACATGTAGACAAATGCATAAAAATATTATCCAGAATCTATCACCAAACTGCAGAAGACTTCACTTTTCAAACATTTCAGTAAGTGAGTTTGGTTTTTACATTTGGTGTTTTTGTGTTGAATAGAGAGTTTTACAAAATGTGTTTATTATTTATTCTGTGACCATGTAAATTCACCAAGATATGTGAGCCTATATAGGAGCGAACGCTCAGATTTACATTTCCTTGCTTACAGAAAACACACACTCACCATGTAGGGATAACCGTTCAATGAGTAGCGATACAGAAAAGTGTCATGGATTCTGTGTTTGGAGAAAATGGCCAGGCCGCTGCCGATGACTCCGCTGCACAGTGGAAAAAAACAAGACATGAGGTTTGTATATTATTCTGACAGTAAGCCAGCACTTTTAAAGAAAATGCAATTCACTTCAGTTTAAAGGAGTAGTTGACTCATTTAATCGACACATTTGCAGTGGTCTCTTGTAGGAATGAATGCCTTGTAAGTTGTTCTTGGGGTGGGAATATACTGGTGCACCATTTCTCGGACCTAAAAGTTGCCCACATCACAGCTGAGGTCCAGACAGCAGGACTGACTTCCCACATGTCCACAGGGGACACACCCGGTGGGATATATTTTGGATTCCTGGAAGGAGTGGAGGATCATATGCCTCTCCCAGCTGTCTATTGAGGACATCGAAGACGTGTGGATATTTGGTCTGATGATCACTGGATTTCTCCTGATTGGAGTCTTTAAGACTCAAGCACAAGCTATAGAAGAACTCATTTTATTGAGTTCAAATGGTTCACAACACTGACCCATTTCAAACCATTTGCTTGATATTGGGTTGGTGGTTTGGAAAGCTTTGGTTTCTCCGTCACTACTCTGGATAACAGTAACACGACTCTACCACTGACTCCATCAGGAACGTTGGTGTTTTATCTCTACAAATAACACAACTCCGGAGTTCAGCTGTGTGGTGGAGTTGCTAATGCTAATGATTAGCTTCTATTAGTTGACACGTTCTCTGCTGTTTCCTGGACGCTAAACCAACAACAGCCTTCCCCAATGCGAGTCTAGATGGGTGAGACCGTGACTGTTAAGTGACAGTGTGACGTAGATCTGTCAGGATTTTCAAATCCTAGTGTTTCACTGTCTATTTTCTATCAGAAGTTAATGCAGTAGATAGGTGTAGGAGACTATTTTCATTTTCAGCCTGCATGAATAACACAGAATGAAGGATTATAACCACACCTTTAAGACTGAAGCACAAACAATAGAAATTAAGAGTTTCTTGGTAAATGAGAGACTACAGGCATTACCTTTTGTAGTAGTGTGAGTAAGGATGGCTATTGGAAAGTTGCTTTTTCAAGTAAAGATAGTCCTTTTCACTCCACACCTGGGGAATAAACCATCACATTGCAAAAATATTTAACATTTGTAATTTTTACTACTTCAGTGGGTTTATCAAACAAGAATTGATTCACACGTCTGTCAAGCAACTTCCACCGACCTCTTGCAACAAGACGATATCGTGTTCGTTCTTGCTCAACATTTCTCCAATCATCTGATAACGCTGAGAGCAGTGTTTGCTTAGATATGGGATCCCCCTGTGAATTAAAACAGAGTACTGAAAGAGTTGTTTTCATTTGCAGACTCTCACATGTATTCAGTTGAAAAACTGGAGTAATAAAAATCTCCAAGCCGCAGTCACGGACCAGCAGTTCAGAGAGAAGACTCGCACACCGACGCAGTCTGCACTAGCCATGTTGGGAGGTCAACGGTGGTAGGGCTTCAGATCAGGAGAGGTGACTGGAGCCGATCCTGATGTATGGGAATAAAAAGCATTATGACAGGGCATTGGCATTTCACTGCCATTCCAATGGAAACCTGAGCAAGTTATGTAAACTACAGTACAGGCCAAAAGCTTGGACACACCTTCTCATTCAATGTGTTTTTTTTCCATGACCATTTACAATGGGAGATTCTCACTGAAGGCATCAAAACTATGAATGAACACATGCGGAGTTATGCACTTAACCACAAAAGGTGAAATAACTGAAAACATATTTTATATTCTATTTTCTTCAAAATAGCCACCCTTTGCTCTGATTACTGCTTTGCACACTCTTGGCATTCTCTTGATGAGTTTCAACAGTCTTGAAGGACTACCTGATAAACTCAAGAGTGACTGATTATAATCAGAAATAATAGAAAAAATGTTTGTTTTTAGTGAAGGACCACTTTAAGTTATGTAGAATCGACTGAGGCTTACAGCATCGTCAGTCATTTGTGAGTGGAGAACAAAAGTGTGACAAAAGTCAGCTGATCCTGTTAAGCCTATGTTGCATAAATATTTGCTGATGTCTGTCTTTAAAGGAGACTAAATGAGCAACAATAAGACAATTATCCACCCGTGCTTTTCCAACAATACATTGACTCCCCCAACAAAGTGCTGACATAGACTGATCTGCTGTGAAAAGAGCCAAAGTTTCAAAGGTAACTGATTTCAGAAAGACAATAACTTTGTAAGTGGTCTTATTAAAACAGATAAAAAATTTTCATTGCAATTTAACTGTGTGCTGCAACAAATGAATTACGCAGCTAAATATTACTGCATAATTTCCAGCACCATACTGCTGTCTAAAAACCTTAATAGCATTACACAGTCAAATCTGGCCAGAGTAGGTTTGCCTACCAAATGTGACCCATTACATAATTTGACTGACTACTGTAGTTCAAGTGTTTCCTACTGAAACAATATTTATCCCATATTGTGTTTTAATATATCCAGTTTGTTTCGTGATAGAATCTAATGAAACATGTTAACATTGGTAATAACATGCTGATTGTTGTAAAACAAATGCTTTTATCTGCGATGGACTGGCTCTCTGTCCAGGGTGTACCCCGCCCGATTGCCCATTGACCTCCGGGGGTAGGCACCAGCCCCTCCCCGCGACCCTGCGTGGGCAAGCCGGTTCAGAAAATGGAAATGCTTTTATTTCGTACAATATAATAGTTATTTGCTTAAAATAGATATTTCTACTACACCTAATTGTTTTGGACCAGGCAAAAGTCGTTACTAAAATAACTTCGGCTTACGAACTGGATAGTTTTAGCTAGCTCCTCTGAAATAAGAGATTATTTCTCTGAACTCGTTGGAAGTCTGTAGTTGAATTCAGGAATTTAAATGTTTTCCAAGTAACGGAAAGACGAGCTGAGCTAACGAACTAAAGCATTCAGCTAATCTGAGTAGCTAGGAGCTCCGGTACCACTGACCTGCGCAAGTTTGTTCAATAATTTAACTTACCGCAGCAGCTGTGTCTTCTCTGCTGAACTGAACCGCTAATGCAATTACAGTCCGGCGACTTTTGCCTCTCACTTCTAATATCCGACACTTCCTGTTAGCTTGCTAGCTTACGTCCTGATAAATAAACGTCAAGAACTCACCTCACCGCTGGCTCAGCATATCAGGTAACTAGTGGTGCCAGTGATACGTGAGTTTTACGCAGACGTAAAATCAGCTGGTATAAAATAATTCCTCCGGTTATATTATTGCCTGAAAATAAAACAGCAATTTTAACTTACATTTTGACAAGGGAATATTCAAAACTCGTGCGCAGAGAACAGATCATTTAGGCAACAACGCTTGTATTTAGCGAAAACGTTACTTTGTTTGGAAAACATGATTTCCGGTTTGGGCTGCCCTTCTCGAAATTGATGCTGGGAAATGTAGTCCTTCACGTTAACTTCCTGCAAAACATGTAGATTTGAGTAATGATAGCTATCTATTGAGATAAATTAAAGTTTATTTTTTATAAGCGTTGTAAACCCAAGTTTTTTTAAAGCATTTAACTAACATACAATTTTACAGAATTTATAAAATATTCATTAGTTTCGATAAAAGACACTAAATCTCAATCTTAACTTTTTAAAACACAATTTTATTGTAGTCACACTTTATTTTTAGTTTATGGTAGAATAACAATTTTTTGTTGTAAATTGAAAACTAGATTACTCCTCTAACACTTTAATTTTACAGCCTCTAGCCTAGAAATCTAGACCGACATACAGAGCAAAAATGACTCCACGTTCCACAGAAGCCTCATCAGGCCTGACCCACCTGGTTTCTTGCCAATCACAGCTCTCTGTTGATTTTGGCAGGCTAAGATGGCGGCAGCTAATTTGAAATGACTTTGACATCAAAGATCACATGTACCAGAGTCCTCCACTCAATACCAGTAAACCACTGGTGTGAGAGGTTCTCCGCTCAGTAATATAAGAGAAAGAGAAATGGCCAGCTTCTACCACTTCAACTTTAGGACAAACTACCAGAGTCCAAAAAAGAAAAACATTTGAAGTCACGGACAACAAAACACAATTGGATGTAGACAACGGCGACTGGTGTTTAGCACTATCTTGTTTACTTTGGCAATGCAGTTCCAGAATCAGGCAAACGTGGCTTCGGAAGGATAGCCGATGGACGGGGTGAGAGTTCTGTGACCTTGTTTGTATTTAAAAGCTAGCTTTTTTGTAGATTGGCTTTTGCAGCTTTAAGAAGAACATCTTTAGTGATTTTATACAGTTCAGGATCTTGTCAATGTTTCATTTGATTTTGTACTGGTGGTGGTTGAAGGGACTGGTGGTGCCTGTGCTCGGCAGCCTCGCCTCTGTCAGTGCGCCCCAGTGCAACTGTGGTTACATTGTAGGTCATCACCATCAGTGTGTGAATGTGTGTGTGAATAGGTGAATGATACACCGTAGTGCAAAGCGCTTCGGAGTCCTCTGAAAGGCTTCATACAAAAATTTACTATTTATTTACTATTTATAACTTTTTGTGAAATTCTTGTTTTTTCATCTGTCTAATACAATATTCATAGAGAAATACAGACAATGCTTAAGCTTCAAGCATGTATGTGTTTTACACACAAACAACTGCATGTTATTTTCTGCAGATGTGTCAAATTTGTAAGACTCTATTCTTGTAATAACTATAAACAAATCAAGACAGACGTAATTAATGGACAAGCTGGTTGTGCTTTTTTTTCTCCTGTATTTTTTCTACTGATAAAGCTGATTTATTTCTGTGACCCCATTAAATATATTGCAATACATTAATAATAGCTAATTGAATTAAGGTACTTAATGTTTTTGCTTGCAATTTTTGCTATATTATTATAAAAATAAACAATGTGGACAAAACAAATTAACAAACATTTAATAGGTTTTCTGGGGAAAATGGCCCCAAAGGCACCATGCGTCTTGTACTGTTAGATACATCTTCTGATTACATATTCCAACCTCTTTTTTTAAGTATAAAATTGCAATGCACAATGGCAACAAAGACAATAATAAAACACCAAAAACCAAAAGAACATCCCACACCATCCAAAATATGATACATTAGATATTTCATTATTCATTTTCAATACCAGCACAATCACACCTTTTCAGCGCTGCACAAGGCGAATGCTGAAAGTCAAAACACGATTGAATCCAAAAACAATAGTAGAAGATGTTTGTATAAAAGATGAACCGAGAGGCCTGCAGGAACAGGAGTGTTATGTGTATAGGGAGCCAAAGTGACATCCGTCTACTTCAGGACCATGGGTCCCCGGAAAAACGAAAAAATGAATGCAAGTCAATGGGGCTAAAAAGGCTGTTTTCTAATTCCGCTTGTTATTTGCCATGGATTTTACATATGATGTCAGTGAATTTTAAAGACACATGTTGATACAAAGAAAGTGCTTATTTTCCAACGGGGGGAGACGTTATTTTAGGTTTTGTGTGAAAATGAGTCCAGAACTACAAATGCGCATCACCAAAGTGACGTCACCGAACCAGAGGCCATGTGGTAAGTAGCAGCTACGCTAAGAGAGAGGAGATTATGTGGTGACGTCATATATGCGACGTACCGATGTCTGATTTGTAGTCATGCTAATTAGAAACTTTTGTAAGCTGATAAATCTCAAAGTATGTGACTAGCGTGGTCGGAACGCCCATTGCATTTCATTAAAATTGAAGCACAACATGTGTGTGATCCAGAGCGTAAGGCAAAGTGGATTAGAAAATAGCTCTTTTAGCCTCGTTGACTTGCATTCATTTTTTTGTTATTTCAGGGACACCATGAGCCGACCGGAAAGGGAGGAGACTTGGGCTCCCTATGATATCCAAAGCCAGGGGACATTTATGCCACTGATATACCTTAATTTGCACATTCATAGCACAGTTGTCCAGTGGACCACCCAGAGTAGTGATTTTTCAAGCAGGACTTGAGGGGTTAAAGGTTATTCCTGTCTCAAACACAAGTCTTACTGTGGTTTTAACACCTCCGTCATGAAGCTTGACACATCTGGAGAACCCCGTCCTGCCCTTTCACGTTTTTTTCCCAACCCCATAAATAACAATCGATAGTTATACTCCACAGAGACAATAGTTATTTTTCAAAATAATTTATAACTATTAAACTGATTCCAAATTGAGTTTGAGAAGAATCGCCATAAATAAAAAAACTGAACTTTTATCAGTGTAGCCTCTCTGCTCATTGGAAGAGTGAAGCAAATAAACTGACTTCGCAGCATGCAATCTCATGTTTTTTTTAACAAAAGAAACAGTGATAAACTTCTCCCTCTTTAACCATGGTCTCTGTGCTGAGTTACTAGATTACAAATATGAACAAAAACCCAGCCTCCCCCAAATACTCCTATGTAACACATGTTCCTTCAGTATCCACTGACTCACAGTACAGAATAAAACATTTTAATTGGATTATGCTACATACCTCACATCAGATCATAAGCACTGCTGTTGCTGCAAACTCCTGTCATATTTCATATATATATGTATGTATGTATGTATGTATATGTGCATCCAAGCACACATCTTTAAACAGGGGAAACAAAGGAGTAACATGATCTTAAAAGGAAGGTCCTAGCTTCATGTCAGGGTAATAGTAGAACAAGACATCCTTAGTGTCAGTAACAGTTATATGCTGGTAAGACCTGATTTTTGCTTGTATGATACAATGTAGAAAACAGAACCCTACTACAAAACAAAAATGAGTTATTCCCCCCAAATTTACTTTGATTGTTAAACTTGGGATTTTAATGTCTTATTTAATCCTGAAAAAGCTACATGAGAAATCCTGTCTTCTTATAAACCGCCCCCACAGACACTGATCTGTTTTCTCTTCCAATTTTTTTTGTAACAAAACACATCTATTAATATTTTATTTTCATTTAAAAACAAGAGGTAGTAGAAAAGTAGGCTATTCAAAGTGGCAGGCAATGATAAAACCTTTGGTAAAACAAGGCACTTAAGCTTTCTTAACAACTTGCCTCTGGATTTCCACCCTCTGTGGTCCAAGTAACTCCACTTTTCAGTCCAAACACACTTTTCTTACTGCTCAGAGCACGTCCACTTAATAAGAGTCTTTTCAACCGTTAACACCTTCTCGTTCCCTCAGGTAAACTTTTCAAGCTTCATCAATTACAAAGTGACCCACTTCATATTGTTTGAGCACATGGCAAATAGCTGGTTGTCCACTGTTCTTCAGATTCCCTGTGTTTGTTGGCTCTTTTTTCATCACGTTCTTTCTATAAAGCATAACTTGTGTCCGTGTTAGTTCGGTCTACCATTAATAAAGGTTTTTGTTGTTGCGTAACCTGGATGGTTGAGGAAGTCTTGTCTGGGTTCTCCAGAACCTCCCTCGTGAGCTGTTATTCTTTAACAAGTCTGTAGACGTGATACTGAGCTCCGTGTTCGCTGTTTGAAACCTCAAAAACAAATGCTATACAGAGCAGCGTCTCCTGGGTTTCACGGTTCGTCACCACCTGTGGGAAAAGAAAACCTGCAGTTACATCTTTATATGGATAGACATGCTTGCCTTATACGGAAGAAATACAGTCTCAAAAGAATATGACTTTTTTAGACGTTGAATTTGTGACGTTGCAGTGCTTCCCCTACATAGGCTCAGACGTGGTGGTGCTACGCCACGGCTGAAATTCCACCACGCCACACCTACGAGATCCACACACACTCATGGAAGGGAAGCGACGACTACCCCCACGGAGAACGCACGGCTGCGAAACGGTCCACGCTCCCCCCTGCGCCACGGCTGGAAACATTTCTATTATTTATTATTTATTTATTTTGTTTGTTTTTATTTATTTTTTTTTTCTTTTACTTGAATTACACCTGCAAAAAAAATAAATAAATTAATAAATCCATTCAAAAAATTCTACTATAGAATTTCATGTTCAAAAATCTAACAGGAATGCAACCTAAAAACGCAACAGTCAAATTTCAGTTGCAAAAGTTCTACCTCGGAAATTCAACAACAAATGAGGTGACCTACCTAGGGATGGGTACCTTTGACATTTGAATCGATCCGGTACTAATTCCTGGTAGCTACGAATCGATACCGGTACTTAACGGTACCAATTTTCGATACTTTTGAGTGTTTAATATTTTTAATTCTCTTTTATAATTAAATATATATTTTTCTCAATATATAACCATATTTGATAAATATCACGATAAATAACATACAACTGTTTGTATTTTAACATCGTCCTTGTAGTTTTATAAGTTGATAATTAAATTGAAGCAAACATCTTTACTGTGAACTAAATTTACTGTGTATCTCCATTCCTTTTACCGTCCTTTTTCAATTGATTTTTTCTACTGGGAAGTTAGAATTTCCGAGGAGAAAGCGAACGCACCATTAGATGATAACAATAGTGGCATAGGAAGCTAAGATATCAAGCTAACGTTATCTTAAACAGTTTATTTAGCTGCTGGAGCAGATTTAAACAATGATGCATCACACTTAGATCGTTGTCGCTGGTTTCATCTTCACCCAATCACCCGTCGCATTTAGTAAAGTGAAGCCAAACTTTAGAGCGCGTTCATGTTCTTCTAGTCAGAATTTCGGAGTTTCAAGGAGAAAGCGAATGCACCATTAGTGAAACGGAAGCTAACAAATCAAGCTAAAGTTATCTTGAACATTTTATTTACCTACCGGAGCAGATTAAAATGAGGATGTCTCACTTAGATTGTTGTCGCTGGTTTCATCATCACCCAGTTACCCATCACATTTAGTGAAGTGGACCCAAGCTTTAGCTTTCGTTCTTTCTACCCATGCTGCTCTGTTTACAACTGGCTCGTAGCGAGCGATGACATAACACTCTTGCGCATGCGCAGCTGTCTAGGCAAGTTCTCGTTGTGAAGGACGGGTTCCGAAACGAGGCACCGTTTCAAATGAAGTGAATCGGTGCTCGGTCGGTACTGTGGAAGTCGGTCGGTACCTTAAAAAGTACAGAATTCGGTACCCATCCCTACTGGCGACCCAAGCCAAAGCAACGGTTTCTCGATTCAGTCGACACCTCAATGATGTCACATGTTTAGAGAAGCAGAATTTGATTGGCTAACAGCCACTCAACTTGATCCTGTGATGATTACTTTGGCTTGGGTCGCCAGTAGGTCACCTCAGTTGTTGAATTTTTGCTGATGTATTTTATATTAAAAACAATTATTCAAATACATAATTTCACAGAATAAAAATTCAATGTCTGAAAAAATAAATCATATTCTGGTGAGACTGTATTTCTTCCCTAGCAAGGGATCTGGAACCAAATTCATACCTGTAAGATCGTGAAGTTTTCGAGAACACTGTTCATCATGTATTTTTCTGGCAAGTGTTTGAGTTTGTGGATAAAGTTGATCATGTATTCACACATTGGGGAGCGGTGGATTCTGTAAACATACTTCCCCCCCTCCAGACGAGCGTATTCTGTCTACAACGTATACAGAAGCAGAACAAAAAAAAAAAAACACAATGAAAAAGGAATTGTCTATGCAAGATGGCATGTTTGTGAAAGCAGAGGATTAATATGCATTCTTACCTCGACTTTTTCAACAACCTGCTTGCCAAATGAGCAGACTTTGGTTGAAACTGTAATCGTCATGTTCTCAATGCTGCTGTACTGGCTGCTGACACCGTAAAAGGAACCTGGACCATCCAGCATCCCGCTGCTGTTCAGATCAGCCTGGAGGAAAATCATCATGAGTCCAAAAATACTTGATATACAGGAAATATAAAGGTCTCATTCTCTAAGAAACCGTGCAATACTTGTTCTTTTTAAAATTACGACTGGTCACTCTGATGTGCGTTTGCATGCTGAACATGAAAGTTTTCTTCAACCATTATTGCCCGCATTTCTGCATGTCGTTTTTACATCACAGCAAAAATTAGCATTCATGGCGTCACCTGGCTTGGCCCACTACAAGAAAGCAGAGCACTTCCCGGATAGTATAAGCTAACCATTAGCAACTCCAAGACGTGGCAGAGCATGCTCGGGATTGTGATATTTGTGGAAATAATACATAACTGTTGCATTTTTCACCCTGGAAAGTATTTTTTATGGTATTCTGAGTTTTGTTAATGAAAGCAGCAGAAGAGTTGCGTTGCTTTTAAGCAATCAGAGGAGAGATGTTTGCATATCTGGAAAATTAATGTGTGAGACTTTAAATCTTTTTGTTTTCTGCCAACTCACTGCTCCAACTCATTTCTACTCACTGCAATAGAAAGTGTTCCACAGGAAAGGGCTCAGAAACCACTGACTCACACACCACGTCTGATTTATTGAAGAAATTAGCAAATGAGGCTTTTTAAGAGTGTAATTCAAAAGCATTTTTAAACTGCTGGAAGACAAATTACCAGTGAGAAAGAGTCAGATGGTTTGCAATGTATTGCACATTAGAGGTAAACTGATACATCGGGCCAATTGTTACCGTTTTTTTTAAATAAATCAGTATAGGTCAATATTTGTCCAACTCTGTTGTGTAACCTTAAACAATGTGTTTGAAATTACTGCAAGCACCATTAAGAAGGTAAACTTCAATAAGAAATGAATGGAAACGAAAACTTTCAAGATACAGATTTAAAAACACCCACCCAGAATTTTACGAGGAAGAATGCGTTTTGGGGGCCTTTCTCGTACAGCTCTTTCAGCCCACCCTTTTTTTCAGGGAACTTGTCGTAGATCTGCCGGATGTCCACAGCCTCGAGGAGAGGGTCGCTGTAGGAGGGATTGGTCTGCCCGATGTGGACAAACAGGTGTTTGCTGTACTACAGTGGACAGAGATGAAAGATTCCTAAAGGTCAGTTTAAATGTTTGTTTTAGAGCTACTAACATAAAATAAAACATTAGTATTCAGAATACTTGTATAAAGGAAACAAGAGGGCAACACCAAATCCTCTTTAACACTTTGACACAGAATACATTTCCTAAAGATGTTGTAAATTTCTAAATATCTGCATATCTTAAATTTTCTTTTTACAATAAGGATATTAGTCATTTATAATGAGAATCTTCTCAGACTGAATTTAAAGTGTAAGTGAGTCTCCAGCTTCCCTCATAATTAATTCATGTTACTTCAGACTCCTACAACAAAACTAAACTCACTAATCAGAAAGTAATGTCCGAAGGACGACTTCCACCTTTGAAGTAGCTATCTGGAGTTTTCCCCCTTTCAGAGATCCTGTCTTATCATTTACTGTGATATAATGCAAGCAATTATTTTTTATTGCTAAGCATGCCCCCTCCCCCGCATAGTTCAGTGCAATAGGAAACAAAATGCCGACAAGAACTAACCAATAGCGTTAGACTGCTGCTCGCTTATATATACATATATATATATATATATATATATATATATATATATATATATATATATATATATATATATATATATATATATATATATATATATATATATATATATATATATATATATATACATATATATATATATATATATACATATATATATATATATATATATACATATATATATATATATATACATATATATATATATATACACACATATATATATATATATATATATATATATATATATATATATATATATATATATATATATATATATATATATATATAACAAGAAACATGAAGTCGCCATCTTAATAAAACGGATCGACAGACTTTTTGGGTGATTTGCTTGTCAGCCACTAGGTGGTGCCATCGGATAAGAGAAATACTCTGTCTAGCTGCTTTAAGGAAGTATTTTATAGTTTGACTATCAGCAAAGTTCAATAGTGTTTCCGATCAGATGGATTCAGATGGGTCAGGTGTATTACTCATCAAATATGTCTGACAGGCACTGTTTTTAGTCTCCAAGCTGTATTTTGAGCTTACATTGTCCAGGTCTCTCTGGACCTCCATAAAGGCCGAGTATTCAAGCATCCGCAGCTTGGAAGAAGCGATTGTTCGATCCTGCCAAACGGGAACCGCAGTGGCTGCAGGTGCAGGTGGGGGTGCCAAGGGCTCATAGGCTGCACCAATACAAAAAATATTTCATCAGGACAGTTGGCTTTTCTTCTCTGAAACAGATTTTAGGATTCATACTTGCCTGGTATGGGCTGTTGTACAGGACCTGGTAAACTTTGGTATGGGGGCTGTACAAAAGGTTTGATGCTGAAAAACATAAAAATTCACACAGTGAAAGATCGTCCCAGATGTATGCCTCCAATGGGTTCAACTTCTTAACCTCATTGTGTCAATTTGTTAGTTTACAGGAGTGAGCATGTGTTGCTGCACCAGCTAGGTGTAAGTCCATCTGCTTCAGTGATTTTTAATTATCCAAAACAGCACAGTATTGCATTTTTGGTGTTTTTTTTAATAATGTGTTCTTATTTCTTCTACTTTTTTCTAAATCAAAATCGAAGCAGTGAATCTGCCCGTTGGTGGTTTGCATCAGTGCAGGAAACATGCAGTGCAGAAGAGTTAGAGCTGGTCTGTGCTCAGAGTCGGGCCTTTGGTTGGGAGAACTTACGCATGGCTGGTGCAGCCGGGCCCAGGAGTCCTTCCCGGGTTGAGATCTAGAACCATCCTGGTGCTGAAAGATGTGATTCATTAAACATACCCTACAATACCCACCTGGCAAAAAACCCCTAACCTGCTACATGATCAATTCTTTTATTTGTGCATTTACTCATCTCATCTATACAGACCCTAATGTTCCACTACAGTGGTTGGCGTGGGGATTTACTTACTCCTGAGATGGTCCGGGCTGTACAGGAATTGGAGCGGGCCAGAACTATGAAAAACAAATTTAGCTTTACTAATTATTTTTAAGAATTAGACAAAATATGTGGCGATTTTTCATAAATGAACTCACTCTGGCTGGTTGGTACGGGGCAGGAGACAGTGGTGGGAGATGATTTTTTATCATACTTGGGGAGACGATCTGTGCCGAGGACAGTGCTGCCATGTTCTGCAGCGCTTTGTCTTTAGACGCCTGATCCTGCAGGATGACAGGGAGGAATGTGATGGTTGACCACAGGGTGGCAGTATACCCTAAATACAATGATCACCAGATATTTGAAAAAGTTATATTTATATATATATATATATATATATATATATATATATATATATATATATATATATATGTATATGTATACATATGTATGTATATGTATGGTTATTTATATATATATATATATATATATATACATATGTATGTATATGTATGTATGTATATATGTATGGTTATATATATATATATATATATATATATATATATATATATATATATATATATATATATATATATATATGTGTGTATACTTATATATGTATGTTTATACATATGAATACAGTTACTTCTGTTAAGTTTGATCAAGCAATGTTTTGAATGAAGCAAAGAGAAGAAGCAGCAAAGCTCTTTTAAATTGCTGGTAAGTTTGTTATCAGAATAATCACAAGGAACACAAAAGTGACTCAAGTTGCATGATTAAAAAAAAAGAAATAATAATAATAACAATATTAACTTAAAAGGTTCTATACAAAGCATCAAAAACCAACATTTTCTAGTCCAAACCTCACAGAGGTTTGGACATGGTTTGATTTCTGATTTCTAACCACAATAGACAAGAATTTGTCTTGTTCCACTTCCTTCCTGATTTGCGGAATGCATGAACTTATATACTGAGCTCTATCTTGCAAAAAAAAAAAAATATATATATATATATATTTATATTTATATATATATATATATATATATATATATATATATATATATATATATATACATACATACATATATAAAGAAACGCTTCAGAAATAAGACCCCATGTCAGAGAACGAGACGTTGTGCAAAGCAAGCAAGAATTTGATTTTTGGCAGCGGCTAAGGGGGTTGAGGCTATACAGCAGTGCAGTGTTGGAGGCCTTTCTTCCTCTAAGTGCTGCTTCATTATAAGATAGCAGTGGGATGGGATGCCATGCCAGTAGAGGGCCTTAGCGACAGGACAGTGCACTATAGTGCTGATTAAAAAAAGCAAAAGAGGGAAGCAAATTACACAAGTCACTTACCAAATTCATTGCCTGAATCAAAAAAGAGAGAAACCATTAGTATGGTGCAACTCTGCCTGGTTTGAGAAGAGGTTTTCTTTAGGTAAATGGATTTCATGGTGTTTTTAAATCTAATTAAATTGTTTCATGATACTGAATTGATGTGGATTTGTTAAAATGTTGATTTAAAGACACCATAAATGGAAGTTTGACCTGGTTTATCAGTCAAAAGGCCCAGTAGGGAAACTTAATATAGTCCGTAATCATTAGAGAGCAGCCAATGGCTGAGAAGATTTAATCATGTTGTTTGCATCCCAAAAGAACAAAAGAAGGGTTATTTTTAAAATAACTGTTTTACTTCATCTTTCACATTTGTGAATCTTACAAAATGTCTTGAGGCAGTTTTGTTTATTTATTGGCGTGGGGGTTTCAAATAAACGTCTGCTACATTCTAATAGGTCATTATCTAAACGTTTTACAACTTTGTGTAAATGTCAGTAGAATGTATTTATTTTTAAAAAGACTAAAAAAACAACCAAGTGTAGTTTTTCTTCTATTCAAAATTACATTACAAAGCAACAAAAACCCACATCAATTTATTGAAATGTTTGTTAAATGAACAGAAAAGTAAAGTTGGTGTAAACTGACTTTGAAGGAGCCAGATCATGCTATTTTAAACCCCTGAGAGCAAAGGTAAGCACAGTGTACGATAAACTACCACTGGCACTATTGAGATGTAATTGTATCTTAAATATGAGTTTTATGTCAGCCTGTCTTTGTACTTGGAAATGAAATGGTCTGTTTCAGTCAACCCCACCTCCACCGACCTGAGCTCCACCCATTTATTACCTAATCCACAAAGCATCATGGGCCATGGTGAAGCAACAAATGAGAAGAAAGCACCCAACAGCACCGCTGTCGGTACAAGATCTGCTCGGGTGCAAGGTCGGCTCGGGGTCCGTCAACTGCCGATGACGTCAAAGTAGTTGACTGGCTGAACATGAACCTTACGGAATTACGTAATCACGTTACGTTGGTCCAGGAAAATCTTTCTGTTGGAAAGATGGACAACTTTTACAAAGAAATCCATCATTACCTCTTTGAAAATACACTTTTAGCATAGAGCTGCATGTATATTAAGGCTGAATGATTAACTGCATGTGCAATTAAATTGCGATGTGACAAAAGGAGATGTTCTAATCGCAAAGGCTGCAATTTGGCAGCGAGTGGTTAGCGCAATGCTAATATATGTGGAAAAACCCATAAGAATGCTAATGCTAATATCGCCAATTACATTATTACAAATTATGAATTAGAAATGTGCCAAATGATTACATTTGGAGTCTAATAGAAAGTAAAACTACCATCAATCAAATAAATACAGACAGGTATTTTAGTAAAGCCAGAAAACTTTTAACTCCAGAGTTTGGGCTAGCAGCTATGAACGTAAGTGAACTACGCATGGACAAGACGTCAAAAACTCTAAACACAAAATACTTCAATAAACGGGACACACTTCTTTCCTGCAAATACAATTTCACAGGTGCTGCTAATACCTATGATCCTTCAAGGGATGTGCTCAAAGAGGAGTTCAACATTATGAATACAATATAGTGTTTTATTTTACAAATACCATCATAAACACAAACTTACGTTGTAAGAAACATTATTTTAATAACGAAATTGCTAAATTCTTTCCAACAGTATAGATGTGTAGTGTATTTTGTCCGAGTGGGTTTGCCGTACTTTGACATCATCGGCAGTCGAAGGACCCCGAGCCGATCTTGCACCCGAGCAGATCTTGTACCGACACCGGCGCTATACCCACGCTTGCTTCCAACTGTCAGCAGTAATTTAATTAGCCAGCTGAAGCAGATTTTTGTTTTATTCATTATTTTCTGCAAAATATTTTGTGTCGCTCAAAATCTTTCCAAGCAGCATTTTAGTTGCAATGCTCTGGACAGGACACAGAAGTCCCAGTGATCTGCTCTGCTCACCTCACATGGACTTACTCTGGCTAAATGAACAAAGTTGGAAAAAATGATTAGTCCTTATAAGTTATACAGTTTACCCTTTAAAGGTTGAAAACTTTATACTGGTAGGTGTAGCTCAAAAAGAAAAAATAAATTACAGCTAAGACTCAAACAGGCGTAAGGTCGAGGCAAAACAGCATGCAAGGCAGGTGTTCTAGCCACTAACCCACACTATCCACTCTGGCACTGGAGGTTTGTAAAGCAGTCATCTGTGAAATGTCGGTCAGACTAAAACATTCTCAACAATCAACCGCTATAAACTCGCAACTCGGAGAAAGTGGGGGTTAGTGACCCAAGGCTGGGATTCGGATACGAGACTAGCTCCATGGGGAAGAGAAAGGCCTGATGACACACTTAGTTTCCATCCTTGTGTCTGAAGGTTTTTCCTCACAATCTGAAAACTTGCAGCTGAGACAGGAGAGTGCATGAATGCAGCCAAAACAGGTTTGGGACTACTCTTCATGAAGAAATAACAAAATCTCATGGTAAAAAGCTCCAAAAAGTGGATTTCCCATGGTCTGGCCCCTTTAATGTTAAACATTTGAATGGAATTTGGAATTGAATAATAAAAAACTACAAAGCATGTTCAGCCTCAAGTCAAAGGAGGATAAAAAAAAAGATTGGTGTGAGTAAAGTGATGCATTTATTTTCTCTAAAGAAAAGAAGACTGTTCTGGGCACACCAAGCAACATCCTTTAATGTTATTACAGGAAGCTGCTCTCTGGAGTCATGGCTCTTAAAACGGGATCCACACAGCACTAGTAGTTTGACACAAAACTATCCAAATTTGAAAGTAAAAACAACTTTTTGGTCATTTTGAAGTGAATTTCTGTGTAAAAATAACAGTTACAGTCAACTTTTGCAGCTGATGTTCTAAAATGAGTTATGTATGGGATGTTATTTTATAAACCCTTTCAGAGCCATCTATTTCACATTACATTTACACGGATTTACTCTCACTTGTGAATGCACACCTCTAGCCACCCAAGAGAGCTAAAACACATTGTTTCAAAATAATTATTAGTGATGCACTGAAATGAAATTTTTGGGCCAATACTGATATTAATATCACTGTTATGGCTGATAAACGATATTTGCCGATACAGACATACTGACATTAGTGCTTCTAAAATCAGCAGATTTTGAATAGAATGAAAATGATTAAAGTTGAATTTACCTTATTATGCACACACACAACACACACACATATATGCTTCTGAGATTATTACAACCACTGTCACATGACCAAACAAATGCACATCACCCCCCTCACCCTCTGAAACACATAAACAAATGGAAACAAGATGGAAAAAATATTGTTTTATTTGGTGGACCGATACTGATATTGATGCCGTGCATCCCTAATTATTATTCTCTCGTTATGCTGTCTATTCATATATACTGTAGACTGACCCCTGTTTTCCACTGGATGTGAAAGCATAGAAAAATTGCTGTAAAACATACTACGCAGCAATTAGCCGAGATTATCGTGAAAAGAAAGAAACAATCTTTTATATAGCACCTCTCAAGATAAAAATCATGAGGCGCTTCACAAAAACAAAATTAAAGTATAAAAAAGATTTAAAAAAAATGATTACAATTTTTTTAAAATGAGAAAAAATAAAACAGAAACTGTGATAAAAAAAATTATAATGTAAAGAAAGGGAGAGCGAAAATGAATAGGGAAGAGGGAAATCAGTGGATCACAGGGAAAGGTGGTATAAGTAGAACGAGCAGAATAAGGAGGGGGTGGTGATGAAGGTCACGCCAAAAGCCAGCTTGAACAGGTGAGTTTTCAGCTGCTTTTTAAAGGAGACCACTGAGTCCACTGATCTCAGGCTCAGAGGGAGAGCGGTCCAGAGTCTGGGGGCCACAGCAGCAAATGATCTGTCACCTTTGGTCTTTAGCCTGGTGCTGCACAACCAATAGGCTTTGGTCACTGGACCTCAGGGACCTGCTGGGGGTGTAGGGACTGAGAAGATCACAAATGTATGACGGTGCTTGTCCATGTAAGGCCCTATAGACCAGAACCAGGATCTTGAAATGAACCCTGAAGTTGACTGGCAGCCAATGAAGCTGGAGGAGAAGCGGGGTGATGTGGGTGTGTTTGGAGGACTTGGTCAGAAGCCGAGCACAGGCATTCTGAACCACCTGTAGACGGTTTTGCTCAGACAAGTGAAAAGAGAGTTGCAGTAGTCTAAGCGTGAGGAGATGAAGGTGTGGATAACTGTCATGATCCTGCCATGCCCTGACCTCCATGCACCATCATTCATCTCATCAGCCTTCATGCTTCACACCTGGTTCCCTCATCTAGCCCCAGCCAAACCCTGTTTCCACAGCAGCCCCAGCCTGCATCTCATCAGCTTCATCCACTTCACCTGCTCCTGACTCCTCAGCTCGTCACACACACCTGCTTCCCCTGCTACTTAAGAACCAGCCATCCAACCATTCAGTGCCAGATTATTGAACGCTCACGCCAGTAAATTCTCTAGCACTCCAACCTCTGCCTGTATCATAGCCTCCTGACCTTGTTTCCATGCCTGACACTTGCCAAGGACTCTGCCTGCCACCACGACCTTCGCCTGTCCACAACCACATCTCTAGCCTGCACCCTGTACCTGCTTTGCCTCGACCTGGTTTTGACCCACGCCTGCCTTCGACTCTGCCTACCTGAGTATCACTCTGGTAACACCTCCTCATAGCTCCTGGCTAATAAAGACTGTTAAAGCATCTCACTGTGTTTGGTGTCACCACGGGTCCTCTAGTTCAGTTCATGACAGATAACAGTCTCAAGTTCAGAGCGGGACAGAATGGGACTCGGCTTTGTAATGTTCCTGAGATGGAAGAAGGAAGAGCGAACAAGAGAACTGACATGAGAATCCAGGGTGAGAGCTGGGTCAAAGGTCACACCAAGATTCCTGATAGAGGGTTTGGTGTGAGAAGCAAGCTGACCAAGAGATGCTCTGACTTTGGGAACCAGCTTGTCTGGTGCACAGATGGGTATCTCAGTCTTATCTTTATTCAGCTGTAGAAAGCTCCCAGCCATCCAGGTTTTAATAGAGAGTAAGCAGGAGTGTAACAGCTGCAGCTTAGACATCTCATGGGGCTTAAAGATGTACAGTTGAATGTCATCTGTGTAAAGATGGTAGGAGACTCCTTTAAAGGAGCTCAGGATGTGCTGAAAAGGAAGCAGATAAAGGAGGAAGAGCAGAGGCCCCAGCACAGAACCTTGTGGGGCACCATGGGTGAGGGATTTGGTGGAGGACTGAAACTTGGAGATGGCCACAGAGAAGGATGCACAGACAGATATGAGAACCACTCCAGAGAGGTTCCTGATAGGCCTACCCAGTCTCTCAGCCTCTCCAGCATGGAGAGTGATGGTCAACAGTGACAAAGGCTGCAGTCAGGTCCAGCAGAACCAGAACTGAACAGTCCCCTGCATCACTGTAGGTCAGAAGGCCATGAGAGACCCTAAAAAGCTGTTTCAGTAGAATGAGCTCTACGAAAACCTGACTGGAAACAATCATTGACGTATTAGTGGACAGGTTCCTTTTCATCAGCAGCAAAGTGTAACGTTTTAGGCGCGTCCCAGAAGCTAAGAGACTATATCATTATGCTTCAAGTCTATTTCTTATGCGCTATGCTTCCAAAACACGATAAACTCCACAGTTTAGATCGGGCCTGACAAAAAATAAATCATTGTAAAACATCTGGAAATTTGCAAAATAAAACTCACAATCAGCAACATTTCCTGTGAAACCCATGTAGCAGACATAAACGGATCAGAAAATAAAACGCCGATCTTATTAGATACATGCTGCTGTCTTTTTCCTTGCTTGTTATTGTGTGAACTTCCGAACCCTCACGTGGTGTTGCAATTCTGTAATTTTGTGACCTCACAGGATCAGCTGTGTGGAACATTTTCGCACCCGTTTTACGTCAGAATGCTCCAGTTGGAAGGGAGCTTGCGGCTAAATCACCTCTATTTCGCTACATGCAGCTTTCGCGTCTGGTGGAAAGAAGGGATTATTTGTCAGAAATGTTGCCAACTCTGCATACTGTGTACTTTCAAAAACACACATGAACACTCTGTGATTGACATATTTTTGTAAGTGCATGTTGAACGCTATTGGCTAATGCTGAGCGCCACTAAATTTAAATTGCACGGAGCTCTATGGGACAGCGGGCAGGTATAGCAAAAAAAACAAACTATGTTTTGCCTACATTTCTAAAAAAAATCAAACATAATTCCTGAAAGAGGAAAGACTCCAGATTTCTGATTTTAAGGAAATAAACAGGCTCCAAACAGATGCTTTTCAGGAAGAAATCTATAAAAATATATTATTTATATTATAATATTGATCATTTTTACACAGAAACACACTTCAAAAAGGCAAGTTGCTCATGATTTTAAAAGGTTTTAGAACCATACACAGAATTAGTCTGCACTGAGAGAAAATCTGATAGTACTTTTGCCCCACAGAATCAACACGTTCTCACACCCTAAGCGTCGAAAAATGACGCAGTGTGACCAAGCGTCAAAATATGACGCGCAGGGTGCCCCAGCGCATCGGGAGAAGACACGCTGTGCCAGAACGTCAGTATCCGACGCCCGCGGTGAGACGGACATTTGACTGATTTGTGACCTTTACCCTCTTGCTATTTAATCTTCCCCTCGCCCCCATCCTAACCTTAACCAGCTTGCGCATGCAAAACTTTGTTTCGCGTTCCATCGTTCCTCTCAAACACGCTTAATTGAAAATTTACACAGACATACTGGGTTAAGGTTAGGATGGGGGTGAGGGGAAGGTTAAATCGCTAGAGGTTAGAGGTGAAATGTCAGTTAAATGTCCGTCTCACCGCGGGTGTCAGATACGGACGTTGTGGAACAGCGCGTGTCCCTGCGCGTCATATTTTCATGCTTGGTCACACCACGTCATTTTTCGATGATTAGGGTGTGAGAACGTGTTGACGGAATAAACACAATATTTTGCTTTAAATACTTATTTATGAATGAGCAAAAAAGATTTTATTTTATGAAGCATTAATAGTTAAGGGGAACTTGAGGAAAGCCAGATTAAAAGAAGTCACAGAGTTACCATATTAGGATTAAAAAAAACTTTTTACAGAGTGTTACAGAAGTCATTATGAAAGGAAATAATGAAGGAAGTAAAGAATTTAAAGGAAAAGACATTTTAGGTACAGATGAATGAGGGAAGCAAGCTGCAGAAGTCTGGCAGCACATAAGATTGGTACAGCGCTGGAGCAGCATGCAGCTTCATGGTGGGGGGGGGGGGTGATAGCAGTGTGTGTTACGTTTATTTAAAGTAGAAACAAAAACATAGCCTTTGTTTCAGGCTTGAGATGAATTTTTAATGATTATCAGATCTAGAAGATAAAATAGAACCTATGTGTTGGTGTACTGCATGCAAACAAGCAAACATGTCGCTGCCTTTTGTCAAACATTTATTTTGTGGCACGATGCACCGATTTATGCATCAGAAACACATTTTACATGAAGGAAAAGGCTGGTATGCTGATCATAAGTAAGCTGGTTAGTGCAAAGCCAAGCTTGTGCCAGCCCTGCCGCGGTGAAGCGCATACCTTTAGCTTTGACTGGATCTCGCGAGATTTTCTCCGGGCGAGAACCTGCAAGTGGCTAGAAACCTGCACAGAAGAATAGCCAGAAGGAGGGAAGATGAAAAAAGACCGGGAGAGAAAAGAGAAGAGAAGAAAGGGAGAAGCCGTAACCAAAGAGGAAAGAGACGCCCAGTTTGTGTTGCCGGGAGGCAGGCCGGCGGCCACCTACCTTTATACCCGCCTGGTATTCACGGACTTTCTTCCGTGCTAACACCTGTATGTGACTAGACACCTAAAGGGGTTTGAAACAGTTTTTGAGCATAAAAATATCATGCAGTCAAACCCTTTAACACTGTTGTTACTATTGACCGTTAAAGTTGCATTATGTAAGAATGACACCCTGTGGTAAAATTTGGTTACTACTAGGGCTGGGCGAGAAATCGAAAATTTATCGTTATCGAAATTTCTGACTCTTATCGAGATCATTTTTCCCATGTCAATAAATTTGATAATAAAAAATGTAAATGTGTGTAGGTTGGCAACGTTCATATCTCTTTAAGAAGCTGTACCACCTTGAGTCACGTAAAAATGTGACTCAACGTAATACATGTGACAGCCCCTTCTAGTGGACAACTTTTGTCTCTGTGCATACCTGTAGTTATCGTCCATTTATCGTTATCGAGGTTAAATCCTCAATATATCGTGATATTGATTTTAGGCCATATCGCTCAGCCCTAGTTACTACAGCCCGTTTTCAAAACAAAACAAGTGACTTTCTTACTACCATTCATGGCTGTTGCCATCTATGACTCAGCACCAGAAGATTCTAGATGACGAGCAAAGACGAGTCATGGTAATTTGATAAGTAGATGAATACATTTCACGTTAATATCCAGTTGTTGGTAATTGAAAAAGTAGCTTGAGATATTTTTATAGCTGACTATTTGTTTCTAATTCCCCGTTAGCATTGTTAGCTCAATGTTAGCCTCTAGCCTTCTTGACTCAATTTTAGAGTTAAACAAAAATATGCTGTAGCTTAGCCTAGAAATCTATACCGACAGTTGCTGAAGTAAAATGATTTTGCTCTGCATGATGCTCTAGCCATGCTCTATTGAAGCCTCAGCAGGCCTATCATTGGCTTGAGCAGTAAGGTGTTATGCCAGTCACAGGGCTCTATCTGTTTGTTGGGCCGGATGATGCAACAAAGCACAACAACTAAGATGGCGGCGGCTCATTTAAACAGTTTTGGCATCAACTTTGGACTATGAAGACTAAGGTTTTCTTTGAGTCAAGAGCAAATTTAGGTACTTTATTTACAAAAGGATGTATTTGCATCTTCTTCAACAGTGTATGGCGGACTGCCCCGGTGATCGACATCCATAACGGTGAGGATGTCACATTGTTTGTTGTCCAATAGCAGGCAGAGACAGTTTAAAAGACAACCGTAGATCCCGCCCCATTACTGAGTTTGCCCTATGGGTAAGGACCAGACTATATATTCACATATATAGGATGACTTGCCAGGCTAGCCGTGACTTCTTAGGAGTGAAAGGAAATATTGTCTGAGTCACTCCTGTAACTGGCTGAGGATCTTTACCAAACGCTGCTCCATTTTGCCAGCCGGTGTCGGATTATAAATGCCGGTGCAGCAGTGCTGCCTTGGCAACCCCGCGGGCTCGCAGATTGGAAAAACTGCCTACATTCCTCTTTCGCTTTTTTAAAAGGAGAAAAACTGACAACACCCCAGCCAGCTGAGACGGAAATTGGTTTCAATGTAACCTTCCTCCCAACATCATTGAGACATCAAGACTGTTTTGTGATTATTTCTCAGTAGAATTCTTACATATTGCTCCTTTAAAGAAAACTGAATATGTAAATGAATGTTTCTGATCAACAGTTGACTAAAAATGTACCACAACCATATTTTAAATCTGATATTTTAAAAGCTCAAAGCACAAGCAAAAAAAAAAAAACACATATACTTAATAAAATCAGTTCATTCATTAGTAATAATGTCATTTCAGCAGCTAAAAATCTCGTTTACCTGCTTTCGTGTGCGGGTTTTGCCTGTCCTCAGCTTGATGTACCTTGCAATCAATTCATTGCGACCTGCAACACAGGGCAGAAAAGATAAGTCATGACATGTTTACATTTGTTCATCTCCAGATGGACAGAAGGTGGTGTTGTTGCACTCTCAATCAAAAAAAATCAATCAAAAAATGCCTCTCTGTCGCGCGCGCGCACACACACACACACACAAACAAACATTTACAACAAAAATCCTGTTCTCTATTAAAGTTTTTTTCATCAGACACAAATTAAAAGGTTTTTGCTCGCTTCACCCTCCTCCGTGTCTTCTCGTGTTTCCCTGCAGCCTAATTACAGAGTGCCTAGAAAACGGAATTGTGCTTTTTAAGACGTAACAAGTTCTCTCGAAATTCTGCACAAACATCTTGTGGAGTTAACGGGCATCTATTCTAGGGGTTTTATGGTCCTCTTTACATTGTGCATGTAAAGAGCTCAAGCCTTTACAGTGCATTATAGCTGCAGTCAAGTGAAAAAAAAACTCCTGGTGCATGTGAAGCACAAAAAGTTACATTATGTTGTCCTGAAGGAAAGTCAGCCTTTTTTAGTTTTCTTCTTGCCAAGTCACGCTTACTGGGTTTCTGTGGCTGTAAGCTGGGGCCAAAGCAAGAGGTTGAACCAGTGTATCATTATGAATAACGCTTCGAAACTTGCTGACAGAGAAATTGTGCTGACAAAACTGGCCACGATGTGCTTTCTTAAACACATGCAGGAGAAACACACAGCAGACCATGTGTCCACGAAGTTTAACAGTTTCCCAGATGCATAATGACAGGAGAAAGGAGTCTAGTGCTTGGCCTCAAGAAGGCCCTGGTTATTGCAATTACCATAAAAGTACCACAGGCCATCTTCAGCAGGCTTGCAGCACTCGCCGTACTAGCCAACCAGTCAGTCCGGCAGTCAGCCAACAGAGCAGAGCAGAGCCGTCTGCCGATACCGAGATGGCTCCTCCCCTGCTGCCCCAGGCTGAGGATGGACACACCCGCTCCAGCGCCTCCGCATTCCTAGCATTCCTGTAAGCCTGTCACATCTGTGCTAGCCATTCTGATTGGGCCCGCAAACACAGAGTTCGGGTGAGCGCACACATTCTCGAATCCAGCGCTCAGATTCCAAATCCAGGAGAAACATGGGTTACAGATCCAGCGGGGGTAGGGGCCGTTAGGCTAGGGTGGTGGTGTTAGGGGAGGTCATTGGTTATAAAGGGGCAGCTGAAAAGGGCAGCGACTCGGGGGGGGGGGGGGGGACAAAGCCAGAACTGTATCTGCCAACAACTGCCACCTGGCAGCAAGGCAGGCCTTTTCCCAAAACAACACCACAGTGTGACTCCTCCGTCAACATACAACAGCACCTGCTGCTGAACGTCCCAACAGAGCGCGGCAAAGAAGGTAACACCAGACTAACCCCCACCCGACTGTCACTCAGCCCCCTCTGCTGAGCGAGGGGGGGTGGGGGTGGGGGGGTGGGGGGCATTGCATCACTAATATGTTACAAAATTCTCAAGAAAAAAAATTAAGTGATGACAACGGATCTGAGCCAGATTCAGAATTCTGGAGGTTGTGTCAAACCGAACATTAATTGCTTTTCCAAATTAAAGTCATTGAGGAAAAGATTTGAGCAGCACATACATATTTTTATAAGCTTCAGCGGCGTTAAAAGGTCATTTGTGAACATTAAATCAAAAGTCTGTGTTATTAATCATTCAGACGCGATGTGGCTCTGAGCTGGGACGATTTTCCAAAAAATCTGATTTGGATGGAGATGTTTGACATTAGTGGTTTGAGGCACCACAGTAACGTTGGTCAGGTAAATGACACCAGTTGTAAAATTTCACAAAACTGAATTAAAAAAAGGAACTTCAAGGCAAGTTCACTTTATTATAATAATAATAATTATTATTATTAGTATTATTATTATTTTTTTTTATCATCATCATCATCATCATCATCAAATTAGACTAAAATAGTCTTGCTGTAGGTGAACTGGTTCTAATGGTGTTGAATAACCCAGATAATGAGGTAGGAAACTGACTACATCTGCATGTGAACGGCTCAGTCAAGCTGATACCGGTTACTTCTGATAATATCACCGCCACAAAATAACATGTGTAACAACATCAAACTGTACAGTACACACCAAATAGGCTGTGCTGCTGCATTGTTGTTATCCGTTCCTTCCTTCCATTGTGCATAACCTTCGTCTGCTCCACTCAAGCCAGCGTTTGTTTACCATTTGTGCCATCACAAAAGGGTGCGTGGCGCCACCTACTGTTCCAACGTGGAACACATTTCATTTGAATGTTTGGTTTTCTAAAGTACACGTAAAAGGCTCCCAGTTTATGACTTTAGATTGACCTAAATCGACTTAGATGTGCGTGTAATTCTGCAACTTTGATGTTTTATCTCTACAAATAGCACAAGCCTGAAGGAGTTCTGCAGTGTGGTAGAGTTGCTAATGCTAACAGTTAGCTTCTACTAGTCGAGACATTCTCTGCTATTTTCTAGATGGTAAACCAACAACAGCCTTCCCCGTCGGAGTCGAGATGGGTGATTCCCAGCGAAAGCTTAGATCTGTCAGGCTTTTCTAATCCTAGAGTTTAACTGCCTACTTTCTATCAGAAGCTAATGCAGGAGATAGGTGTAGGAGACTATTTTCATGTTCAGCCTGCATGAAACACAGAGTGACCAATCTTTTTCAAAACTAATAAGCAAAAAATGGTTTCTCAGTGAAGTACCTTCATAAGAACAACAGCCTGCTGCTGACTTGTGTTCAATTAAAATGTTCCGCGCTGAGTTGGCACAGATCTTCAGTGACCATACATCTTACACCAAATGATTGTCTCTGAAACTATAACAAATTCTGAGGACTGGTTTTATTGGGAATGGGAAATCCTTAAACATTTATGCAGATTTCTTTTACAGCGTTGTCAGTCTGCAGCTGCGGCAGTCAACATCTGCTCAGACTTGCCACGGTGGGAGGGTTATGGGGGTCAGAGGACTCAGAGGTTCACATGCAGAGATCATAACAAGTGAAACACACACACACACACACTTGTGCGCAAGGTCTCACTGTTCTTTGTCTTCCAATATCCTGCTTTTTCTCCTCCTTCCAGAGGTCCCATGACTTGCCCGATGATTGCTCAACACTCACTATGATCACTGCAGGCTGCCATTCTTAACTTCTTCCCTGACGGGATACACCCATCTCCTTCTTTTATTATAAGACACACTGGAATTTTCCACTTCCACACTAAGATAGCGAGCAAAAAAGATGATCTCTATTGACTCGACATAACCTGCTCCCCTCCCTCTCCTCTTTAACGCTCCGTCTCGCCCCTGAACCCTTTCTACACCCATATTTCCCTCCCTCCTCCCTTCACATAACATTGAGGTAATCCTAAATTGCTAACATACTGCTCAGCCATGACTGAAAACATTCCTAACATCTCAGCGAGGGGCTGACAGGGAAGCACCAGGCCTGCTCAGTCATCAAACAGCCTGCTCAGTGCCCTCTCTAAAAGCTCACAGCTTTGCAGATGCACTGAACCTGCTGCTCATTCTAATGTGCTGGCCTCAGAACAGACATGAGCCTGCCTCTCGCACTTTTAAATCTGTCTTGGTTTTCATACCCAGAATGCTTTGCAGCAGTGACAGCTGCAGGGGTGTGGGGGAAAGAGAGAGGCACGCGCTTTTGGTCTGACACACCTGTTGAGACCAGAACTCGCAGGTGAACAACATGTCAGCACAGCCCCAAAGCGAAAAACGAGAAGAACAACATTTTATTTTCCAGATGCTTCCTTTGATTTCAGCTATTTCATTTCACCAAGAACAAATGTCTCAGCTATCCTTATTATGTTTGAGCTGGGGCTGGCCAATAAATCGAAAATGTATCGTTATCGAAATTTCTGACTCTTATCGAGATCATTTTTCCCATGTCAATTTGATAATAAAAAATGAGAAGATGTGTGTAGGTTGGCAACATTCATGTCCCTTTAAGCTGTACCACATTGAGTCACGTAAAAATGTGACTCAACATAATACATGTGACAGCCCCATCTAGTGGACAACCTTTGTTCCTGCGCATACCTGTAGTTATCGTCCATTTATCGTTTTCGAGCTGGAATCCTCAATATATCATGATATTGATTTTAGGCCATATCGCCCAGCCCTAGTTTGAGCATTTTATCCCACAGAAGATCCTGTCTAGTGATCTAAAACATGTATCCACATCAAAGCCATAAATTACCCCACCAATGAAAGATGTAGAAAAATAAGTAAATTTGTTTGCCTATAAAAACTACAAAGATAATTGTTCTTTTATTTTTTTCACATCTCTGTCTAACGCAGCGGTCCTCAATAGACGGCAGACGGGCCCCCACTTTATGCCCCCCCCACCCCCCACCCCCCCACCCCGTCTTATGTTCGGGTCTATATGGTAATTTGCCGTACTTTGACATAATAAAACTTAATATTATTAATGTCTGGTGATGCTTTTTGCGCTGATCAGTGACATCACTCCTTACCGAAACAGTCGCAATATGCTAATGTCTGTGGAAAGTCCTGGAAGTGATGAATTTGTATGGAGACACAACAGCTGGCAGGACCAGACCATCATATCTCCTGGTCAATTTCTGAAGTTCTGACAATGGCAGTTCTTACATATTGTACCTTTAAAAATGACTGATAAATGTATGAATAGCAAAAAATATAACAGTATAATATTTTTGCTCATGTAGTTGCACTTTACTGTTATGTTTTTAGTTCTCTGCCTAAGATCATTGGTCCCAGCTCATGTCTGTGAACAAAAACCTTCAAAGCTCTCCTTGTACAACGGTGGGGAGTCTGAAATGCTTTTCAGAAGGTAACGGACTGTGTAATTTATTATTTTAAGTTGAATAAAAGGTAACAAAAGCGTGCTGATCATGGATGAGTAACAATATTAGCAAACAGACCCAAATTCTTAAACTTTGCGAGGAACAAAGATGTCTACATCGTTTTCCGCATCAATGCTGGACCTTTACAGCACAC